TTATTCGAATTACCTGCAATTTTTTGAAAGAAAACTTCTTATATATGTCCAGTCGATTACTTTTGATTTTCATTGTTTGAAAAGCTTTTAATGAATATTCAGGATGTCCTATTCTCGAAACAGAAGTTTTTTTAATTTCATGAAAAACGGAAGTTAACAAAATGTTTTCATTGTGGCAAAAAGTTGCTAAAAGTATTTCTTGCCATAGCCTGCCACAATTTGAGAAGAGTAGTCTTTTTGACTTAAACAAACAACAGAAAACCCCCATAATAAAGTGTATGTATACTAGGTTGTTTTCATTGAACCCTCTTGTACCACCACACTCGTCAGTCGCGTGCCTTTCTGACATCTCTCATCAATCTACACTACGGTTAAAAGGTTTTCTAATGAATTGCACCATGACGAGTCAACTTGTCTGCTTTGGACTTACAATTTTCCGTTTCATCACTTTGTGCAGAGGAACCGATTTGAATTCAAGAAACAAGAATATGGTTTCTAGCACAGAAAAATTTCGGTAAATTTCGTTAAAAACAATTTCAAGTTATACTAGTGGTCATACATGTACATGTCCATTATATGCTGTCTAAGAATTTTTATTAACTGCGCGATCAACAGCTTCTACAGTTGTTTCAAACAGATCGCTTTACAACTGAATGTGGTATACAGTAATTACTGAATTTAGTCGCTGGATAAAAATAAAGCACTGAATAATTAAGCCTATAATTATGGCGTTTTGATTTAACCTAGGTATATAAATCCATTTGCAATAAAATTTGAAAACTGTCATATTTTTAGGAAGGAATATAATGAAATCACAATCACAATATTACTCTGTGAATTGATTTGAGTATATATTACATTCCTTTTTCGATATATAATTAATTAACTATGGCTGGAAATCGTTAGCTTTCTGGTATTACTTGCTGCTAAAAATTATTCAATTTCAAACTTATATCCCAATTTCAAATCAATATTATAAAAATTAGATGCACATTAATCACTATCTCTCTATTTACTTACTTATCCACTATATCTACTGAAGTTATCCTTAAAACCATCTAGAAGAGTCATATTAGGTGATCTGGTGGGTTCTTCCGAAAGACAACATCTACCCGTCTACTGATTTTGATAGTTGAGAAACCCAAATAAGTTTTCAATTGATGTTACATATCAGCAAGATATAGTAACTCTTTATCATGATGAGCTGGTTCAAAAGTAGCTGAATAACAAATATCCAAACTGATAGATATGCAAATTTGATCCTTTAGGATGACCCGCTAGATTACCTGATTACCCTACATTTTTTGTGGAAATCAAAACAATACTGAAGTATTGTTTTGAAAGTATACCAGTAAATTCCAAATATGTCTAAAATCCTTGGTGTTTATATATCTTATATTATTCTGATAATCATAAAGCACTGCTTGAAACAAAATCCATCAACTAATTGATATCACAGACCTCATGCACCTTGGAATTTCGACCCCTGAAAGGAACGTTGGAACGTCTATCACAGTATAGATGACAGGTGTAGGAGGACAGTGGGACGCGCATGAGGTCTTTCACCCCGTGTGGTCACCTGGATCTACACTGCAATAATAAGACATATGTTAATGTACTGAGCCATTGCATGAAGACCGAAAGTTCTACAAGCAACGGCCATCTAAAAAGTATATCAAATACAGTGATTAGCTTGTTTTAACATCACAGGAGCCATGAGAACAACACCAACTGGACCTGTACGTTGAAGAGGTTGCGTTAATGGCCATGTTACTATTGTGGACGGCTGGTGTGAAACTCGAAGTAGGAATGGGTCGATTGAGGCTGAGCCTATGGCGAGAAGCGCTCACTGCGCAACCTCTGCTGCAGGCAACCCAGGTTTGTGTTTATTAAACCCTACAAAATGCAAATAAAACAGAACATAGAGTCAGATGCTACTAATGCAATACGCATATATACAGACGGCTAAAAACCTAAAGAAGGCTCAGGATGTGGAGTGTACTCTAGGTCACTAATCCTTAGGATTAAGTGGGGAATGGGAAAAAATACCAGCGTGGTTCAAACAGAACTGGCTGGTATCTCACTAGCCACAAAAGAAATAACCAGGAAAGTAATTTCTGGCAAAAACAAAACCATCTGCCCTGATAGCAGACAAGATCTATTAGCCTTGAACAGACGTGTTATCTCAGGGCTAATACTAGAGTGCCACCAAGATTTAGCCAAAGCCTCGGTAGATGATAATAACATTATCCTGAGGTGACTGAAAGGGCACGACAAGAGTAAAGGTAATCGCATTACCGACTCTTTAGCCACGGAAGCGGCTGGAACAAGAATTTTAGGACCCAGTGGCACCTACGACCTGATGACTTCGACAATTGCGAAACTAGCCAAACGTCACACCCATGCTCAATCCCTAAAGAGATGGGATGAAATCAAAGAATGCAATCTTGCCAAGATCACCCTTTGCGACCCTGGGAAGCTGGCTCCAAAGAAATATCCATAATATGAGGTTAGTGGACACACCTCTACGCAGAATGGGTCACATGTGGTCTAAGTGCTGTGGGCCTACACTCACCTTCCCTACTCTACAGATAGATGACAGGTGCTTTCATGCATTTTCAGATATTTTCTCGGACGTGCTAACAGTAGGAACCAAAAATTTCAACTTTTGAGGGGGACGATAGTTGTTGAATGAAAAACAATGTTGTGACCCTTGTATGATCACTAATACCAACGTATTCAAAATACACTTCATTGTGAGATTTTCACCAAACAGTTTTACAAAAATGCAACACGTATTTTGCCATTCAATGGCTTTTTCGGGAGTGTCTTTACTCAGTAAAGACAGTAAAGTACTCAGTAAAGCCACGCCCGAAGAAGCTATTGTATGGAGAAACACGTGTTGCTTTTTTGTAAAACTTTAGTGAAAATCTCCCAATGAAGTGTTTTTTAAATAGTTATGGATTTTCATAAAGTATCAGCCAATTCCATTATATACAATATACACTAATACTAAGTTTTTGGACGCAGCAAAAAAGATGATTGAAAATCATTCTGTTAAATTCATTAAATTATTTAAAATACTGATGTTTTTCTTATTTCATTTTAAAAAAGTAAATTAATATTTACAAATACACACTTGAAAATGTTTCAGTAGTAATAGTCCAGAATGATACTAACCTAGAGTTTTCACAATACCAAATTTCAAACTTCTCTTTCAGAAATGTGATAAATTTGGCGGACAGAATAGTTAATGTCTTGTTAACGGGTGCCAAAGACGTCACTAATTATTTTAATTCATATTTCTAGGCATTTATGAACTGTTCACACGCTGATAAACGAGAAAATTTAAGAACAGTTCTGCCAAAATAACTTTTCCATTAACATGCATTTGTATTATAAATTTATACAGTGAGGACGTAAAAAGTCCTTCCTCCCTTAACTTTTGAATTAAACAACCTACAGAGGTCCTACTGTACTGGTACTACTTTTATTACTTTTTGACATAAAAATTATTGTGGTCACGTAGTCTAGTGTCGAGAGGCCCCCATCAACTTTTTTTAATGTAAAGTGGGTCACGTGGCTTCTGGTTTTGAAGGCTTTCAGAATCTCTATCCAACACCGCTGTCTTTGTGAAAATCAGCCAAGCCGTTTCAAACTGACAAGCATTTGAAAGCTTCAAATATCTGTTTAAAATTTGTTTTTCCATTAATCAGCTGTCGCCCTCATACCAACGACAACTCTCAGAAGTTGAGAAACTTGTGCGAGCTAAGGACTAACGAGGTCTTACCTTTTAACGTGTGATTCCTAACACGAAAATATGTTACAAATAAATTAAAAACCTAAATGACTTTTAATTGCAACAAAATTTCAAGTAACAGTTTCAACTATTTCAGCGAGTGCTTGAAGTGTTCACCGTTCACTTCTTGACAGAAAAAAAGTCTGTTTTGGAATTCATTCCGAACGTTATTAAATGTTTCCTGGGAAATACTGTAACACACATCTGTAATTTCGTTAACAGTTCCTGGAGTGACTGTGGCTGAGTGACGTACACCTTAGATTTTATGTACCCCCACAGAAAAAAGTCCATCAGTGTCATATCAGGTGACCTAGCTGGCCATTCTCGGACTGGTCGGTAGTAGTGGGAGGGTGCACCCCCCCCTCCATGGTAAATTTATTTGGGTTTCCCCAACTACTTCTGAAAGACAAGGTCGAGGCATTTGAAAATTATAAAAAAATGCTGAAAACCTATGAACTGTCAAAAATATCAATATGATTAACGTCGATATTAGACTGACATTGAAATGAAATGCTATTTGGAGTTCCAGCAAAATAACCGAGGTATAAAAAAACTAGAACAAAAACCACAATTTAAAGTACCAATAATATGCGCACCTGTTTAACCACAAAAAATTGGCTTTTCGATCGGAATCAGTAACCGAAACCGAGTTAAAATTCTGCTGTAAATAATAGTTTGAAGTAATTTATTTGTTAAATATTTGGAGTAAATTTCAAACGCTGGTCAGTCTGACAAAACCAGGAGCCACATGACGATACTGTGCAACAATCCTGTAACGAATGTTTGGAGTACAAACTGAATAGGAAAGTATATAATTCAATGTTCACATAAAAGTATTTGTTTCTAAAGTATTTTTCTTTCGTGTAATTCAATGTTTTTATGAAGGTAGCTGTTTCGGAAGTCCTTTTCCCAGTTTGTGACTGAAAGTTTACATATCTTTGTAAAGAGATTATGTTCAAGCCAATTTCTTTCTGTCTCTCTTCAGAAGATTCCCACATTTTTTTTAAATATGAAGAAGTAGAAAGCCAAAACCTTTCTTCCCCAATACTTCTGAATTGTTTCAATCTTACTGCAATTTTCAATTATTTTTCTCCAGCAGTCATTTTCAGCTCTCCAAAATACATTGCTCTTCCACCTTCAAACTTTGCCACAAGTTACTTTGTGGAAGACTTTACTACTTCAGATAAATGAAACCAATAGGTGTACACAAACTTGTATTAGAATGAATTTTGTCATACTTCAGAAGTACACAACACCTCTAACATTCTTGACAAAGACATAAACTTAAAACTACAGTTCACAGACTATTAAATTAAATATTGACATAATACAAAAACTTGATAAACAACAATATCAATTGGACTCTCTGACTTTTATTCCATTATCAAAAAATAAAAAGAACTCTTTATTTAGCATTCGCTTTGCGACGAACATAAACTTTTGTACGTTAATATTTTCCAAGCGCCAAGATGAAATGGAATGAATGGAAAATTCAGTTTGAACATGAGATGATTATACCTGTAAAAACAAAATAAGAATTAGAATCGAGAAGAAATTAGAAGAAAATTTCAAATTCAATACAACCTAAGTTATACTGTTTCTTTGAATAATTGTAATGCACTGTTGGCAACCTTTGATGCAGTCATGAATTTCAATCACTAAGTGATTATCTTCAAGAGGAAGATTGAACTTCCTCTTGAAGATGATCACTTGGTGATTGAAACACGTGTCGAGGTGTTAAAAGTAAAGGTTTGGTGTTGGGATAAAACTCCAGTAATATGCTTCATTAAAAACCAGATCAAGTTTGGGGAGTTATAAATGGAACATAAGAGAACTTAAAACTACAATTTCAATGTAAACAAAATATATGGCAATTTTTATAGAAATATCTTCAAAATCCTCATTGGTTTTCATCTTTCAAATGAGTAGTGCGCTTTCATTTGTAAAACATACTGAAATAAAAAATTATGTTTCAGAGCATTTTTTTCAAAATTATGAATGGACTGACCTATCACTTGATGAAGATTAATGACACTATCCATGATAATAATCGAACAGTTTTCACAAAAATCTTTTATTTCTAGATGCGTTTTACTAAAAACCTTAGCTTCCTCAGTAGAAATGCTAAGTGTCAGCAAAACGTGTCTAAAAATGATAAGTGTTTGTGAAAATTGTTTATTATCATAGATAGAATTTTTTCAACATTCCTAGCACTACTGTAAACATGCAACAATTGTAGCCACTATAGATCACGAACTGACGAATTTAAATTTTTGCGAAATGATTTTTGAAATAAAATATTCACAGCAAGTTTTATATCATACATTGCGCAATCATATAAACATTGAATAATTTATTTGAGGATATATATTTGGGTGCAATAATGTTTACTATATGAAAAATAGTGGGGCTCACCCATAGAAATCATACTATCTACAAGCAACAACTGAACATTTACCGACTCTTTTCAACTATTCCTGCTCTTTTTACAATAATATTGATATTGTTATATCTGTGTGTTGTCAATAAGAAATATTTCTTGGACAAAAAAGTGCAGTAATTCACTCACTGCACTAGGACAACGTTTTTAGAATTGTGTGTAGCAATCCCCTGCGGAGGCATTATTAGCTACACCAATCGAAACCAGAGCAAGATTGGACAACACTGTGTTGATCTGCCATAGGTCTGTCTCATCATTGGTGCCAGACAAAAAAATGAATGCATCGCTGGAGTCAAAACTATCCTTGAAGGACAAGCCTGAGCTGCCAGCATCTATAGACGGTTGAAGCCAAATTTCGACATCAACTGCCGTCTTTTTCTCCAGCTTTCACTGCGACAGAAACTTTCTGAGACCAGAAAGGTCTCTTCGTTGGTGTTGGTCTGAACCACAATGCGCTCTTGGACTCAACTGTTCCAAGAACAAAGAAAGGCGATGACAAAACATAATGAAGATACCACCTCTAAAATCGACAGAAGATTCAATTCATGACTATCGAAGATAAATAGAACTCTCAAAAGCAGTCTGTTGCGAAGCCGAGCTTCAACAGCGTCTTTGGACACTGGCGTCGACTTGATTGCCGTGCAGTGAAAGCTACAGAAGAAGATAGCAGACTAATCTTGTTTGGTGGTCAAAGCCAAATCTTGATCATGTAAAGAAACACGTTTGACAACCTCGTCAATTTCTTGAATTGGTTCTTGTATTGATCCCATAGATGGTGTCTTCATAAAGGAGAAAATATATCATCACCCTTTCTCATTAGCTCAATTATTATCTAATCACTTTCCCGTGGAAATATTTAATGACATAACTGATATATAAATGTTTATTTTTGCTACTCAAATATATATTCAACTGTAAAATGAATAAACATGTATAGATTTAATATATGTTACATAATAAGGTACATGTTGAGAACAGTGAGAACTAGGAAATCAATTAATAAGCACAACAAATAAATTTATAAATGCAGCTAAAAAGAACAGTTGTTACTTGTAGATTTTTGCAAAATCCTTGTTCTTCATTACAATCAATTGCTTTGTTTTTTCATTTAATCTAGTTTTGCTGGATAATGAAACGAAACGTTTTCACTACAACACTTCAAAAAATATTCATGATGTAGAAGAGTTATACTGTAGTAGGAGTAGGTAAATTCAAAAATTTCACAGGAAAATCTTATTATTTTGAATACATCCAGTTAACAAGCCTTTTTTTTAGTTTTTTAAATTAAGTGTATACACTTCATTAATATTTAACAGTCTCTAAGGATTATAATTTGTTGTTATGATGAGAATATACTAACCGGTAAATTAGAATAGTCACCATTTCCTACAGCTCTCTAATAGGGTTGGTGCCTCTGTTGGCGTTGTCCACCGCCTCCTCTACCACCTGCAGGTTTGCCCTGGTAACCACCTGAGCCACCTGAAAAGATGAAGCAGTATAAAAATTTTTATATTATAGCAATCTTACTCACTAATTCAACTCAAAAACAATTGTTCGCCACCTGTGTTGTCAATCGCCTCTATGTTCTCTTCTACAAATTCAGAAGTGACAAATGTTTTTTTTTGTTCCTACAATAGCTGCTAACGAGGGTGCTCAAAAGACGCGGCATTTCACATAGACACAGTTTTTCATGTACATATTCATACTAATGTAGATTATGATTAATCATCCCAACAAAGTGACCATCAGCCTAATATTATGGGATCTTACAGTATATAACTGAATGTTTGAACTAACATCTCTAAATATTAAACATTGAATTAGTTTTAGGTTCCACAACTCGCAACCAAATATATTGCAAAAAATTTGTAATGGTGACAGAGAATGGAACGAAAAAATTAAGAGCATCTCCCCAAATACATTTTCCACTTATACCATAACTGCATCCAGCACCAAATCCTCCATCGTAGAATAGCCAAATCCCTGGTCTACATTCAGATATAAACAAATTCACTGTACACTTTACATCTTCACCAGCAGTGGCTAATTCATCAATTTAATATAAATTTTATTTTGTTAGTGGTAGTTGCTTACAGTAATTTCAAAACTGAATGTTTCTTGTGATGAAGGTTGTAAAAGAGTAATTCCATCTTCTCTTAAGTTGGCATCAGACGCAAATGATTTTAATTTGATTTTCAAATAAATTGCTGACCTAGCAATAAAAGTGTTCATTTCGCTAGAATAACTATTTAATTGCCGAGTCGAATATGAAAAATAAATCATTCTTACATAAACTTATTTCAGAACAAAGAAATCACTTCATAGCACAGTCCATGTGGGTTTCATGGCAACATGAAAATTTGGGGTCGAAAATTTTCGGGTATATCCAAGAAAAAAATGTTTATGCTAGAAATATCCATATCCCTTAGGGTGCATTTGAATTTTCAATTTTGAAAGCTTGATTTTTTAATCGATGATATGAAAAAAATTGGAAAAGAATAAAGGATTATAAAGCCCTGCTCCAAATGTGAGCTGAAATACTGATTTCTTATTACATAAAATCATCTTAAATAAGATTCACAGGATCCTATTAACTTCCCTCAAGTCAATTAACTATAATATGTTTTAAATATTTATCACATCAGTATATCACTCACTTGAACTTGCAAGTTTTCTAGTCAAAAGAACCATACTATTTGGAATCGGTTAAGAAATTGAAATTGACCATTTACAACACAGAATATATCAGCAAATCACTAGCTTTCATTCAACTGCTACTCAAATAAAACAATTTATTTGATTGATGGTCCCTTTCAAGGTGAAAGTATATCATGAAGATTTCTAGTTTCAACAAATGCTTTATTCAAGCTCTAAACAATAATTCACAATATCATTCCACTGCATCTGTAAATATGTGTCAACTTGTACAAAATATAGGAACAAGACAAGTCTACTATGATGTAAATATATTATGTCTTAAATAAAACATACATTAGACAACTGTGTGAATATCACACTTTCTATAAGATTTATGAGCATATCACACATCCAGAATGGAAAAGGCACTTCTCACAAAATGTTTTTAGGAAATCTCAGTTAAAATGTTATATATAGAAAGTATAAAACTTTAACCGGTATTTCCTGAAAACATAACTTTTTGGAGTTGTGCCCTTTCCATTCTAAATGTGCGATAAATAAATGGTCATACCGAGTTGATGGTAATACAAGAATTTTCCTGAAAATGTAATAGTCATGATTCTGTCACTCTAACCAAAGAAACCAGTGGATGAAGTTTATTTGAAATAAAAAATTCATATCTACTACAGCCAACCCGGTACCTCCTATCTAACTGACATATACAAGAGCTTACAATAAAAGGCACCGACAGATTACCATCGAAACTAACAGTGTTAAAAACTTATTGCCCGTTGTTGGAGTATTTACCATAATTGCCATAGTTGGAGTAATCGTATCCACCATAACCTCCGTATCCTCCACCTCCGTAATAGTCATAACCCTGATTATAGCCTCCATCATAGCCATAACCTTGTCCATATCCTCCATAGCTTCCATAACCTTGGTTCCAATTTTGAGACCCATAACCTCCTCGGCCTCCCCTACCTCCACGCATACCACCGCCACGGCCACCGCGACCTCCACGTCCACCCATCATTGGGCCACCCATCTGGTCGGGTTTAGGTGTAGCCTTCTTTACATCAACCTGTAAATAAATACAAAAATTAAAATTATAATAATTTTTTCAGTTTGTTCCAAGGGCCAATTTCTGCCCTTAACTATATTTCTAGACTAGGATAGTCGCAAAGTGCATGACCTAAGCAAACTTACGTTTTTTTTGCATTTCAATTATTATTGTGTATTGTGACACATAACGACATTTAGTGGCGAGTAGTGATACTATGTACTATCTTTTTCAGCTACCCACTAGGTGGCATTAAGCGTAAATAAATATTTGGAATTACTGCATTGGTTCGAGAAAGTTCTGGTTCTAGCTAGTGTATTCCAATCACCTCGAGATGGCAGTAATAATTGCATAATTGCAAATTATCAAATAATTCCACTGGAACAAATTAATAATTTGCATAAATTTGCTCGTGGGTTGTTTTCTGTTTTTGGTACTATTTACTTGTGTGAGAAAACGTTTTCCAAGATGAAGTACACAAAGAATGTTCACAGATCTCAATTAACCGATAAGCATCTTAAATCTCTTTTGATAATTGGTACAAGTAAAATTGATCCACAACTACAAAGTATTGTCGGTGGAAAATCACAATTACATAAATCTCATTAGTGTTTTTGTTTTACCGTGATTCATTTCAATTATTTGTTAGTTATCAATATGCTCAAACTTAGGTACTTAAGTTTTCTTTGTCATCATTTCTGTTGTTAAGTTTTACCTTGCAAGTAAATAAAACCGAGTAATTATCATTCTGTGTTTTCTTCTTCAACTTATCACAGCAATAGTAACAACAATTAGGTAATCATTGGCTGTCGCGGGCCGGATTGATGACACTGGCGGGCCGGATTTGGCCCGCCATTGTATAATATAATATTTGTATAATATGCAAATATTATAAAAATGAACAGAATATCAATCAGTTCTCTGATCATGTATTTTCAATGCTCAAAGTTAGGCTAAGCTTAATGCTAATTCATTTGAATGAAAACCCCACCATTAATCTTAAGTGACATGATAACTACTGAATCAGAAAATATAAAAGGTAGTATGAGATTGTTTTTGCACAAAAACATTTTCAATTCAATATCAATATTGAATTTGGTCATTATTACGCCTTGGACAAAGACGAAACGGACTGGTTCAAGTTTGACGATAGTCGTGTCACGAAGTGTTCTGGCGATGTATTGAAGCTACTGGAGCCTCTGGAGACACCCTACATTTTGTTTTATGAGAGAGAGGACATTGGAAGATCAAGATCTTCAGATGATGTGGTGCTGCAGGTTTTTCCGGGTTTTCCTGCAGCTGAAAAAGCAAATGCGCCACTGGAATCAATGAAGTCGCCCCGGAGCGCCAATTAATTTTTATTGTTGTTTTTATTATCAACATAGTAATATTAAATATTTTTAATAAGAAATTCAATATCTGCTCTTGAAATGTTCACTCGAAATACCAAGTCCTTTGAAAATCCTACAAGACAAGGAAATTGAAATTTAAGGAAGGTAGTATATTTCTCCAAATCCCTATAATTTGATTTGGCATGGAAGGATTACTAAATTCATCCAATATTAACCACATATGGTTATCGAGACAGTACTCATGAAGAATCAAAGTGTAAATAAAGTTCAATTCTTAATCTGATTTTTAATTCAGTTGCAGGTCACAATAAACATTTTGTAACTAAAAAAAACACTAAACAGGGATAGATAAGACTGTAGAGAACATGGTTTTTCAAAATGTCATGGTCCAGGGACTACATATTGACTATGGAATATGGTCTCTATGCCACCCGAAGGGCAATTTTATCTATGACACTGTGGCAAAGATTCCATCGACAAAAAATCCGTAGGCCACCAGCTGGAGGGTAAGCTCCGATACTGATTGTGTCAACCGACATTAAAATTCCGATGTAAAAAAATTTAATAACACCAAAAACATATCAAGTAATGAAAACATACCTCTTTATCCTTAATGGTTTGCTTAGGCCTCTTGAGTAAGTCATTTACGACTTGTTCAGATTCGAATGTGATAAAACAGAAGCCTTTCCTCTGGTTTTTAGTTTTGTCAAATGGCATCTCAACTTCCACTATCTGAAACAAATTAAAATAATTTTCGAAAATATTTTTGATAATAAGATGTATCTCACCGTTCCGAATTGTGCAAAGTAGGATTTTATGTCATCATCAGTGAGATCTGTGGACAAACCCCCAACAAATATTTTACCGTGTCTAGCTTTAGCTTTTTTTGGATCAACTTTCTTTCCATTGATGATATGATCACCTGCTGCTACCACTTTGTCCAATGTTTCAGTAGATTTGAAAACAATGAATGCAAAACCCCTAGACCTGCCAGTGTTTGGGTCAGTTTTCACATTTATGCTCTCAATTTCACCATATTGTCCAAAATGTTCACGAAGTTCCTCTGTAAAAAAAAAAGAAAGATTATTGTATTGTGAAAATTCACTGAAAAAATGTGGAGTGAATTGAAAGTAAACATCAGCATTGGAATTATCAACAAAAATACTCAGTAGCAGAACTGACAAAATTAAATCATCATAATATATTTTGATTTTGTAACAATTTCTTCAAAACAAATTCAGCTAGGACTGACTTGATAGCTCACACATCAATTATATCTACTATTATTATGCATTCAACAAAATTACATTGGTTGGATTGTAAGATTTTTTCTCTAAAATTTTCAATTTTAGGACCTAGGGATGAGTTACTTCAGATGTTATATGGCATAAATTAGAGTCATTTGAACATTCTGAATATTCATTTAAGGACAGACTGAAAATTTCAATAATTGAAGAATACTATATTATCAAGGGATACTGTATTATTAATCTTATCCTTTTGTAGACATTCTCAGTGTTCATTTGAAATAAATATGCATTATCATCTATTCAACAATCAATTTTAAACAGAAACAAAATTACTTCAAGAGTCTTGTTACATACATATGGACAAAGACTTTTGAATTGATGGTTCTGATATGTTCATTAATTTTAGTCTCAAGGAACGTTTCATGTGAATATTAACTCAAAAGTATTCATACATTTAATGTCTTTGTTTTATCCTTTATCCTTGAATTAAGAGTTCAAAAGTTCCCCGATTTCAAATTTTAGTACTAAGACGTCAATAATGCAAATATCCACAGATACTTCTTCAAGTAATCGAATTGAATGGTTTAACGCTCCAAATACCAGTTGACAGGTAATTGAATTCAGTTAACTGCCGACAGCCGATGTTATTTGCATTTTTTTTATGGTAGTAGTTTATTATTATAAAAAATTTGTCTAGAAGAGTACCAAGAATGGTATATCATTCCCCAATTGATTGTCACCTGGATGTTGCAGTTAACAACTTGTTCATTCAATGGTTGTTTTGCAAAAGCGAGCGGTTAGATACTTATGCAAGGTGGGAGTACATGAGTTATGCAGACCATTATTTTTGAGAAAAAAAATTCTCACCGTTACTTGTATTTTCATTCTAGAAACTGTTTGCCTGATTTACAAAAAACATAATATGGTTGGAACTCCCGAACATATAAACTGTTCCAAAACCAAGTCAAAGTATTCTTCAACTTATGGAAATAAAATGCTATATAATCACATACCTTACAAAATTAGGAAGGAGAAAAGCTATAAAAAGTTCAGTAATTTTGTTAAAGATGTCCTTGCAACAAAAGCATACTATGATCTTGATGAATATTACAATGGAACTTTGTTTTAATGTTTTTTTTTGGTGTTATTGTTTATATTGACACCTATACTTCAAATAATATTTTATACTGTGGTAGATCTTATTTTATTGCCATGACATGTTCAAACTGTATGTATTTGTTTTTTACATTTTTGGAAAGGGACTATACAAACTATTCTTTTGACAAACTTGGTTAAATTTTATTTTTCATTGTCATATTTTATCCACTTGATATGTGAACTTACTTTTGCTCAAATTGTGTTCATGGGTATTTGTATTTTTAATTTTTTTTTTGGAGTGCTATACATACCAGATTGTTTAACAAGCTGTGTCAATAAGATTGTATTTTCTTGGACAATAAAGTTTATATCATCTATCTACCTAATAAATTTTGTATATTCAAGCTTTATATTTCTTGACCTACTGATGACATAGTTGCCTTTATGTTCTGCGTAGATCAAACTTTAAAAATCACACGAAGTAATATTCATAATATGCCTTTGAATGCATGAAAAAAATTGTAGATAGATTCGACTTATTAAATTTCAATTCAATCATCATTTATCTGAATGACTTGGGTTTCATTAGATTACGTCCACAAAGCCATTGTACTTTTGTTGTATTGACATAAAAATGTAGAAAATATTTCATTCAAATTTTAGTAGAAAGGGCAGCTCTAGCGCCTATATATTGCCTTACTGAAGGCTCTTTCATTTATAATGGGTTGAAAATATTCAATCGTCTTCCATCCCACCTGAAATGCACATGCCATAACAGGAACTTGTGATAGAGCCTCTTTTAGTTTATCAGAGTACTAACAAGATAACTATTAATTTGACTTGTGTCTGACTCTCAATACAGTTCATGTAATCAATATTGGAAATTTTCATCATACATTATTACTGGATATTTTCCTAAAGTATAGTATTGTGCTATGAAAATACAAACTGTTTCTGTTATCTTTTTTTGTCCTATTTTGTTGTATATACATATATCCAGTATATACTTGAAAATGTAGATTTTATAGTTTATAGTTTTATATGACTAAGTAGCGATAGCTAATATGTTAATTTTGTTTGTTTGTTTGTTATTTTAACCAAGCTATGTCAATAAGATATGAATCTTCAGACAATAATAGTATATTATGCAAGGATCATGTAATGATGACACGAGCATTAACCGGGATACGAAACGAGCCGAAGGCGAGTTTTGTATGGTATATGCGAGTGTATTAATAACCATTACATGAGAGTTGCATACGCTATTTTTCCTAAACCCGATAAATAATGAAAAACTATAAATATTATATTTGTATTGAACACATTTACAGTAATTAACTCATTTTTTTTAAAACACAAACTTTTTGGGATTATCATGGATATATGAAAACTATAAAGATTCCAATTATATTTATATTGAATATAACAACTGTAATTAATATGATCTTTTAAAAATATTGGAGTCGATGGTATTCCTTCTATATCGCTGTTTTCAGACATTTTGATAATATAGGTAGGTAATATGAAAACTGATTTCGACAAATAAAGCAATTAGTTACTTAGGTTAGAATCTAGGACAAACAAAGGAACAGGATTCTTGATTGAAAAATTATGGGTTTCTATTGGTTGATAATCTGTATCGTTATGAAAAATCTGTATCTTAATGGATATCATTATGAAAGGGATTATGGTCATATAAGTGTATTGTTAGAGTACGGGTGTAGAAAAATCATATTTTGACTTTGAACTATCAGGTTGTTTCAAAAGTTTCATCAGTTTCAATGTCGTGTTTTTGTGGATCCATATCTCAAATATTTATTCTACTGTGTTGAGGTATATACTTATCGATAGAAAATTTTTTTCCATACTTTCATGCTGTTCATTTTTACCAAACTTCAGTTTTTTGTATCTTTCCAGCTTATTATTATATGTATATCATTAAGCGATTTTCGGACTATTTTTCTCTGTGAATTGAAATTGAACCAAAGCGCTGTCAAAAGAGTTCGAAAAAATAACCATGTATTTGGCAATGAGCGTTGATGAGCACACTGTTCGACGTTGGTTTGCGAAATTTCGTTCCGGATATTTTAGCCTCAAAGATGAGCTTCCAAATGGTCGGCTCACAGTATCCACAACAAGACCCGCATGTTTCACAAATCACCGTCCAAAACTGAATTAAACATGGAAGTTCTGCCTCACCTATCATACTCCCAGACCTCTCGCCAACTAACTATCATCTTTTCAAGCACTTCGATAACTTCCTCATCGGTAGAACCTTTGTCAATCAGGACCGGGCAAAAAGAGCCTTTGTCAACTTCATTGAATCCTGAGCACCCAATTTTTATACTGACATTAATCAACTTTCGTTACATAGGCAAAAGTGCACCAATTCAAATGACACTTATTTCAATTAATTTAAATAAGTACTCACGAAGATTTTGCAGTTTAAAGTAGACTAATAAAAACGGATAAATCTTTTGAAACAACCTAATACAAATGCTGATACTCAGAAAATTATTTTCAAGATAGGTATTTACTTAGGTATCATTGAAAACTTTTTAAAGATTGGTACAGAATATCAAGAAGATGCTGTGTCAATACCTTTTATATCGATGAGCCAATCTTTAGATCTATCAATTGCCATTGATTGAAATGTCAAGTTTGGCAACAATTTTATTTTATTTTCCTTCTCCCTTCCTAATCCATATTTTTTATTATTATTTTCAATTGAAATTAAAAGGAGAATAGCAGTCCAGAATTGAATTTATTTTTCATTGAGAGGCTAGAAAATCTAATAATAAAGGTAAAAATACTCACTATCAGTTGTTTCCCAATTCATGCCACCGACAAACAATTTCCTGCAAATGAAAATGTTTTTTTAGTAATGGTGAATACTTTCAGAAGTTCCTAAACAATAAAAGTAATATTTTGAAAGTTCAAATCTAAGATGAAGTTATAGAACAAGAATTTCAATGATATATGGATACAGCAAATGATTAAATCGTAGTTGAATCAAATGGATCTGCAATCTCAAACTGATCTGAAACTTATACTGACTAATCTGTGAAACAAATTAGATCAAAATTTAATGTAATGAAACAATTAAACTTTATTTGGATCATGACTGAATTGTCCAAAGTGAACTGTTAACATTGAGTTTACTAAGTGTTGGCAGAAGAAGTGCCCAAGGATAAATACCATGGGTCCTAGTGCTCCCAGTCCTTCCATACTCCATCTTCCACTTAGCTGACTCAGCCACCTGGAGAAAAGGAACCATGTTTAAATTGGATTTGAAAGGTATCCTAAAACCTGGCATCCTATTACTGGTACTGAACTGATACTTATTTCAACAAGACCAAGAAATTACAAAAGAAACTCAAAAAGTGAATTATATTCAGTCAATAAAATCCACTGAAAGACAAAATTTCAACTGAGAAATTGATTTAGCTGAAAAAGATAGTAAATCTGGATTGACTGAATTGGAGATTATCCTAAAAAAAACTGCAAATTCAAAGTAGGCGCCAAAAAGAGCTTAATCCGCCATTTTCTTCCATAAAACATGGCCGGTTGACCTTGATGATATGTGATATGACCAAATTGCAAAAACAAACTAAAAAATACAATAAAATTCACAATGACTAAGTGCTGAAATAAACTTTAGCCGGTTTTTTAATTTGAAAAATATTGTATCACTAATGATTATAACAGATTCAAATTTCGTAAAAGTAATATACTTTTCAAGCTGACAGATAAATCAGCTTAAAAATTAAAGAGAGTGAGATCTGAGGCGAAATCTAATACATCAAATCATCAACCATTGACTCCTTACCTATCATCATCTCGTCCAGGGGTATCGGCACTTCCACTGTCGGCTTGTGGGGCATCACCAGAGCCATTTTGCTGACTTTGTTCAGCGGTAACGTCCGATGAAAAATCTTGTCCGTTTTCCATTGTGGATTTAGTTCTACTTTTGAACTCAAAACGTTAAAAGACTTTACTGGTGTTGTTTACCACAAGATAACAATAGATATAAACACCGGCAAAACACCCAACACCATGCAAGGAAGACACCCGAAAGAGGACGATGACGCGTCAGCAACAAAAATATTTCTTCTTTAACCCCACTACGTCATAACCGGCAAATCAACCAATAAAAACATGATTTCTCATTTGACAGGAAATGAAACATGCGCACTAAGATGCCTACTTTTACATTAAATTTCTTCCTATTCTTTTCTTATATTGACTGGCCATTTCATATTCGGAAATTAACCCCAAAAGTTTTATTGGGTGCATTCGAGTTACCACTATCGAAATTTTTTCTATTACTTCGGAAGGCGACCTGTGTTGATTATATCGAATCAACTTGTTTGTGGTTTTTTCCATCTCTTTTAAAATAGAAATTTTAGGACCTAATAATTATAGTTATTTTGAAATTGGCTTCGCCGCGGTCGTTATGTGGTAGAAGCATTTTGATCGTTGTGAGCGCTTAGTGGAATGCATGAAATGTCAATGCAAATATGAGAAAAACAAAAAGTAGGTTCAGTGATAAATAGTAAGTTATGAAATTCAAATGAAAAACACACAAATTTTCGAGTTAGTTTCGTAACTCTGGGTTTAAATTTATCAATTGAACTATTATAAATTAAAAGAAATACTTTTTATGCACTTTTGATTTGCAATAAAACCTTCAGACATATTACCTCACAAAACTTCATTCTTCTATCAAGGTCATCTTCATTTAATTCCTGTAATATATATAGTTTATAGGTGTGAAACTTATGTTTTCAGAGGTATTTCTTGACAATGTTTTTTGAGACATCATTCTCACGAGTAGAAACTGTTTTGGATTGCAGGGGATTATTCACTACAGATGCAACCAAATGATTTCTATCTGTTTCTCATTCGAGAATCAGTTCATGAAGCTGCAGGGTTTCGGAGACCTGGGAGAAATGAATAAATCAGAAGTAGTAAGAAAAAAATGCATCCTTCATATGAAATATAATTAGGTATTTCCTAAAGTATTCACAAAATATTAGATAATTATTAGATTCTGAATTCATTGGGAATCCAACTCTTTCAATTCAAAGTTCGCAGTTGAGTAAACTCGGAGCAAATATTCGCATTCTCTTTTATCCATTCCTTTGACAAAAGGTAGTATTAGGTAGTTTCCATTCAAAAGTTTCACATGTCCTGTTACTTGTAGATATTCCTTCGGACCCTGTATGCGTAACGGTTGTCTTTCGGCCTGAAAAAACTTTACTACAATTTTTCATCCGGGTTATTTTTTTCAACCCACCGTTTCTATTTTGAAACCTATTGGCAACTGATCTTGGTGGTGAAGTCTCCGATTTTTCTGCATCAAACCAATTTTTACTGAGCTGATATTACCATCCCCTTTCAAAGATAATAAGTATTTTGTATTATCTGTAAACAAAAAGAAATGCAATTGTGATTTATTTGTAATAACATAATAAACGTTTATTAAACAAAAATTATAAGAGATGCAAGATATAAAAACTGATTACATCAGCTAATTGAATTCGATAAACGTTTTGATGTTATCATTTAAGTAATAATAATGAAAATTGTCTTTATTATTTTTAAAAGATGTAAAAAAACAATATTTGGAAAATATAATCACTAATATAAAAAACAATATTTGGGGAATATAATCACTGTGTGATTGATAACTTGTTTATTTTGTGAAAATTCACAATGACTTTAATTAAATGAATGTACCTACTTGATAATGGGGTAAATCCCGAAACCGGTCGTACAAATAACTAATACAAATTAGACAAAAGTGTTTTTATTCATTTCATTGAAGTGAAATATAATCACAGAATATTTTTGAAAATCAATGGGGGGTATCAGTTCAGTTCCTGAATAAATTCAACGATTGAACTGTTTTTCCACTTCCATTTAAAAATACCTCTCTATTGAATTTTCTTTAATTGATACAAAAAAAAAGAAAAATATACAAATGTGTCCACACTACGAAATATAAGTTTATCGAAGTAGGAGCAAATCGATGTGAAGCTCTGAAATCAAATCACTGACGTGTCTTGAATAAATAAATACTTAGTCACCAAACTCAAACAATTGCTCATGTAGTTGCAGTTTCATGAGTAAGAATGTGTCATCTTCCCCACCAACGGATTTCCTGGAGTCTTTGAAGTACACTAGATACTTTTTAGGACAACAAGAGGATTGCTCCGAATTCTTGGGGTTCTTGTTGAATACTCTTCGTAAGCAAAACAAATGGCAGAGTAATTAGTCCTGATTGAATAATTCCGTACAGTTTATCTCGTCTTGTGTTTGTAGATATTTTGCTGGTAAAATCCTCACTTTTTTACTTTGTAGTAAATGTTCAAGAGGTAGCAAAAACGTATGTGATTTTCTGGAACTTCAACTAGCGTTTCCTAATATGACTGATATCCAGTCCGTGCAAAGCTTGTTGTTAAAATGGAACTTTCAACGGGTGATGATCAACTGTATTGCCAAACATGCGCCAAACTAACTGACTATTATAAGGAAACAAGTATAAGTGAGGCACCAGTCAATTTAATAATAACACTGATGTTCTTCAAACATGACTGACCGAAGCACAAAACTCTTACGAAGGTTCCAAATAAATGAACAATTCATTCTAGCAGACCACTATTATGATATTCATGACGTTGAATCTGGTCATTATTATGCATTGGTCAGCGACGAAACGAAGTGGTTTAAGTTTGACGATAATCGTGTCACTAAGTGTTCTGGAGAAGTCTTGAATTTATTGGAGCCTCTAGAGACTCCCTACATTTTGTTTTATGAAAGAGAGAACATTGGCAGATCAGGATCTTCAGATGATGTGGTGCTGCAGGTTTTTCCTGCAGCTGAAAAGGCAAATGCGCCACTGGGATCAATGAAGTCGCCCTATTGGTCGCCAATTAATTTTTATTGTTTCATAATTTCATGATTTGTATCACTTTCTTCTTTGAAAATTTGAACTATTGAAATATATCACACTGAAATTTTTGAAACCCAGCTGTACGCAATTCGAAGAAAAGGTCATTCATCACATGGCATGTTTGATAACTGAAGGTGGAGTAAGTGTTCCCCTGAACCTAATATTGACGGTATGAACATTCGTTAAACATTTTTTTTTTTCTATGAAGATAGACAGGCTTTCTGGTAAGAATAAATTTTGTGTAATAGGTTTACGGCATGCAAGAGTTTTCTGTTATTCATATTTAACCAATAGGCATCTTTGAGATTATGAAAGATTTTCAGAGAACGTCTTATTCCGTAAATAAGTCTTAAGCACGAATTTTGTTTTCTTTGAATTTTGCGTTTATACTGCTCACTCAAATGTAGTTTAACTGTTGACGAGAAATTATACTTTCTCATCAACACTTTTCCGGTCAAAAATACGAAATAAGAGAATTTGAAACAAATGCCGCTGAAAATACTCAGAGCTGAGATTTTCAACAAATTTTGATATTTTTTCTTCTCCTGCTACATATACAAGCTACAATCATAGCGCATGTTCCTGTTATGCTTGTGGAAGGGTCAATAATTTGATTTAAGCCAAAAGAGTCAACAATAGCGGAAAATTGGATAACATTAGCAGACTAACATTCCAACATGTTAATATTAAGTACACCAGTACAAATCAGTTCATTCACTGTCGGATAAATTAGGCTAAGACAATCTTCAAAATCATTAAAAAAAATATTGACATTTTGATTTGGTGGAATATAACGTATTCAAAAAAACACTTCGTGAGATTTTCACTGAAGACTTTTACAAAAACGCAACACGTGTTTCGCCATACAATGGCTTCTTCGGGCGGATGTTTAATATATTAAGCAAACGATGTCACTCAAAAATAAAGCATTCAAGAAATATAAAAAGATTCGATACCCGTTAGATTTCAATAGTTAAAAGATCTACCTACTTAACTATGTCAATGGTGTCATTCGTAGAGAGAAAAAAGCATTTCTATATCATATTTTACTGCAAAAAATTCTAGAAAAACATAGAACACATTGCGATCATTAGGAATTCTACGTAATAAACATACTACTGATTCACCATCAACTCGAAAAGATGTAGATATTATGAATTTTCATTTCGATAGCATCGCCCATACTGTTAAATCTGACTCAGAACGAGCTTTACTTGATAAGTACAAGCATTCAAAATTCGTTTCTTCGCTTTTCTTATGACATAAGAAAATATGATCACATTGACTCAACAATAAAAGAATCGGTATGGTTAAGATTAGAATAACAACGGAAAATTCATTTGCTGACAATAACTTTTGATTTTAATTAAATAGTCGCAATCGACCGGTCGATCGGGATGATTAGTCCAGTTGATCATGGCAAGGCAAAAAATATAAATACATAGAAAGACTGAGCAACCTAATCACCAACTACTGCACGAAATAACATAATTTATTATACAGAGGGGTGATGATTATCACCAATTGTGTGATTCAGACTGGCAATGTAATTTGGCATTTTTAGCAGATTTTACTGGAAAACTGAAAACATTAAATATGGAACTACAGTAATAATGAAACCGTCAAAGAAATGGTGAGTTCTATTGTTGCATTTCAAAGTCGAACGGCGTCTATGATAGTTGACATCGCAAAGAGAAAATTTCAACAATTTGTAAACATCAAGGATCATATGGAAAAACATACTACCTACAATTTCATTGCTGACAAGTACATGACAGTACTCACAATGCTCACACTGATATAAATAAGTAGTGACTGAAAATAATATTCAGTTTTGTTTTTTTTTTCGCATAATTGTGTACTGAACTATGATATTTCATTTAAGGTTTCAAGAAGTATGTGGTAGATCTCCCAGAGTATTGATAATAAACAGTATATCTTGGGTCTGAACAAGTTGTCACCCCTGGTAATGGCACTTTATTAATATTGTGCATTCTGCCGCTAGGATGATTTTCGTTTTTGTTTCTAGTGATCAAATGCTTTTTCATATTGAATTTGTGATGGTGATGTTAGGATCGTGTAGTGGTTGAGTTGAAGAACAGCTTTGCTGATGCTCCACTTTTTCTTTAGAATGAAGTCAATATACTGTTATTATTATTATTATTATAATCTCCACCAATTATATGGAAGTGTTCAACAAATAAATTTGATATATTTTCTAGGATGTCTATGATATAATTTGTTTTTGTCCGAATTTGTGCAATTATTTCTTATCCACATGACTTTTTTACTGTTTTCCAGTTTTCTTTACTATTACCCGCATTAATCAAAGTTTTCTTGAAATCCTTATTTCTATTGGGTTCCATTTGTTTTTATTGATTTGTTCATATATATTTCAATGATTTTCAATTTTTTCTTGATTGCTTTTATCAATTTGCCAATTTCCATACAATTCGAATTTCGGAACTCGCCAATCATATGGATATAAAACAGGTACATACTTCTGTTTACACTCCAGGACCCATCTAACATGAAACAGTTCCAGTGGGTCATCCCAAAATCTTGATTACGATGACATATTTCTAAGATGTCAAAATATTTGATGAAATCCTTGAATTCCATCCAAAATTCTCCATCCTCCCTAATTTTCACAGAAAGAGAGGTTCTTATATTATCGGGGATGGTATTCCACAGCTCTGATCTGAAAAATAACAGATGTAGTTGAAAAATCTTTTGAAAAACATTCTTTGTAGAGTCAATGCGTCTTACTGTCTTCTGGGTGTATAGCTCTCTACAATCTAAAAAATGAACTGAACTAAATCAATAGTCTGCTGGAGTCTAATAAAGGACAAACTGATGAGTCTGCTAGCAGGGGAGCTCACGATGCAAAATGGGGATTTACTCGAGCGTCATTGAGACATATTAGGTTGCAAAGCTTAGATGATAGGAAGAAAAAAATGTTATATAATATATACCTTTTCATCGGTGGGGGAAGCGGCTACAGATTTTTAAATATGTAAAAAAATACTGTTGCATGGACATACTCGAGCGCATCAGATATTGATAGCATCAATGTCCTACGTATTTTTAATAATGTTGGTATGTTAATCTGATCGTTTGCATGATGTAGGTGGTTGTACGTAAGGGATAAAAGTGAAAGGAAAAAAAATAATCGAGCGCGTCAGATTTTCTAAGGGGGTGTTAAGTGCAATAAAAAAAAGCTCTCATTCAATAATCTGACGATTTCGATCTGACGCAAACTCGCGGCCATTATTATAATCTGCACAAAAAAATAGCCATTTTGAAATACTCAAGCGCGTCAGATTAAGATATACATGGTTCATCTTTATGTTTTAGACGTGCTGTCTCATAATCTGACGATTATCTAGAAGGATTCGCTTGATCTGACAAAAATAATATTGTTTTTAAATTTTTTTTATTCATTGAACTTAATTAATTGAAAAGCTCAGGGAGGTAGCATGCAAATAAATAAGTGTATGTTTTTTAGGTGGCATGCTCAAAATGCTCAAAAAAAATTAATTTTTCATAATCAATTGATTAATTAATGAAGAAAAGAGAAATGAAACTTTCTATATTTTTTACCAATTTTATTTGTAACTAACGTTACTGCAGATTCGTCCTATTTTCATTTTCATTTTCAAACTCATATAATGTATAAGTTTGAAAATATCCTTATAGGACGAAACTGCAGTAACGTTAGTTACAACTAAAAGTGGTAAAAAACATAGAAAGTTTAATTTCTCTTTTCTTCATTATGATTTCCTACCACAAAGTAACGGCTACATCCATCAATTAATTGATTAATTAATCATTATCTTTATCTTCATCACAAACGAGTCTCTGTGATCAGCTGTGATGGCATCATGGCAACAGAATTCAGAGTGGGGACGGAGTGAGAGAGTAATATATAGAGAAAAAGTGAATAGAGGATAGAGGAATAGAAACTCGGAGAGGGAAATATGGGTATCGGGTATCACACAGCTGCACGCATTAAACTTTATCGAAGAATTTTTGTTATTTCGGCTTGCGGAAATCGTCACATTATATATTTTTCGTTATCCTTGAATTTTTTCTTTTAAAATGAAAAAAATTAGCTACGCTTGAGAATATCGAAATGAAGTTATTTTTTTACAACTTTGCTGCCCTCCCCTTTCATTACGTCACTCTCAAATTGTCAGATTACTGAAATATGCACTTTTTAGCAGGTAATTAACTCACCCTACCTTAATCTGACGCGCTCGAGAATTTCTGATGATCATTTTTTTTTACTAATCTGGGGCTCATATTTGGTGGAGGTACTTAACCGGGTACAAGGTATCCCCCTGTATATTAATCTGCCGCGCTTTAGTAAATCCCGAAATCCCCGCTTGGGCTCCCCTATTATGACGAAAAGTTACTGCATAATAAAACTACTGAAAGGTCCAATTAGGCAAACTTTATGAATATGATAACTAATTGGACTTTTCAGTTGTTTATATTACGCATTTTCGGGGTGAACTTTTCAGCAAATCGGTTATACACCAAAAAGGCAGAAAGAAGTAAAGAATATTACTGGAGTTTTTTCCCAACACCAACTCGTTATTTTCAACACCTCGACACGTGTTTCGATCACCAAGTGATCATCTTCAAGAGGAAGATAAAACTGTTTTATCTGGTGATCGAAACACGTGTCGAGGTGTTAAAAAATAACGATTTGGTGTTGGGAAAAAACTCCAGTAATATTCATTACTACACCAAACGTTCCAAACAGTACATCATAAGTAAGAAGTATTTCAAAAATGGAAAGAGAAATGAAAATTTCTATGTTTTTTACCACTTTTAATTGTAACTAACGTTACTGCAGTTTCGTCTTATATGAACAATCTCAAACTAATACAATAAACTGTATTGTAGTTTATTGTCCATATAGGACGAAACTGCAGTAACGTTAGTTACAATTGAAAGTGGTAAAAAACATAGACATTGTCATTTCTCTTCTCATTATGATCTCCTACCACGTAGTAACGGCTACATCCATCAATTTATTTCAAAAATGATTGCACAAATGTTATCGTTTCAGTTTATAGACATTATAACTATTGCTCCGTCCGTCACACATCACTTTGCTACTTGATAACTTTGCAGAATACATTAGAGAAATAGAGACTGTGAAAGTTGAGAGAGTATATATGGAAGGAATTATTCCATCTTTCATAATCTCTATTTCTTTGGCCAAACGGGAAGAACATTTTCCCAAAGAATTAAACAGCATAGAAGTATATTTGTAAATAGAAAGACCAATTTCACATTCGCAAACCACCTTTTAGCAGAAGGAGATAAGTTCAACCATGAATACGATGTGATAAATTTAGAAGAGACAAGTTTGAAACTCAATCTTCTAGAATCTAGAATGTTTAGAAATCAATCGATTCAAGAATTCGGGTGATTTATTGAATGATCAATTGAAATTGAAAAATTCCCTGTTACTAAATATTTTTTCAAATGTGGGAACTGGTGCATAAGCTCAGCTTCATTACAAACTCAGGTACACATGAAACATTAAAGGATCAGATAAACTCATGTACTTTAAATGTAGGTACCTACTTCAAATTGTAAAATTAGGTATACAAATCATTTAATATGTAGAAAATAGTTAGTAAAGATACTTTCAAAGAAGCCATTGTATGGCGAAATACGTGTTGCGTTTTTATAATAATGTTCAGTGAAAATCTCACAATAAAGTGTTTTTTGAACACATTATCACTAGAGGGGGTCCATAGATGTTACATTGAAATTTTTCGATTCCAGTGTAATAAGTAGTCTTAATATAAATTTTCCATTTCAATTATCACATACAAATATGATTTGTTCTCAAAGCACGATAAACATTAACTTGATGACAATCACTGTTGGTAATTCTATATTCTTTTGTTGTTGGATTGTTGTTGTGGAATTGGCCGCGGTGGTAGTGCGCCCGACTCACGATCGAAAGACCGTGGGTTCGATTCCTGCCTCGACCAGATATTTTTCTCGAGAGAATTTATCTGGTTGAAGCTGAGATGATTCTGCAAACGTGTTAGGAATCACACGTTAAAAGGTAAGACCTCGTCAGTCCTTGGCTCGCACAAGTTTCTCAACTTCCGAGAGTTGCCGTTCGTATGGGGCCGACAGCTGATTAACGGAAAAACAGATTTTAAACAGATTTTTTTTTAGATTTACGAAAGTCGCTACACTAGTGTAACGACATCTCATCATAAACTATCAATTGAGAGATTATGGCAGTCAGACAAAATCAGTACCTGTCGTTCCAGTTACCTGTCCATTCTACTCTTCCCCATGGATTTCTGATCCTGAGTAGTTTTACTACATTTGAAAGCCTAGATCGGATCTCAATGACTTCAGTTATACTATATGCATGCGAGGGAATCAGTCCAAGTGATAAAGCCAATCTTGTTCCATTCTGTAACAAATAACAAATACCACACAAATGCAAAAATCATTAGATTAACATAAATACAATAACTCGTGAAATGCAAATATATAAACATCCACAAAAACGAACAAACACACGGGCGTACATGCACGGACAAACATACAGGGTCTGTTAAAAAAATAAGGTGAATGTTCAAATTTCGCGGGCTGCGTACATTCGATTAGTGATTTTTCATTTTTTTATGTTGGTACACTAGTCTCAAACATATGCTCACAGTATCAGCTGTTTAGCATGTTTAGTTTGTTGTAGAGAAGCATACAAGTTAGAAGTGTTTTGGGTGTTCGGCGATTTTCTGCTACCGAAAAAAAATAGATCAAATAATATGCATCAAACATTTTGTGTGAAGTATGGAATTTAGTGCTCAAATGAGATGTTGACATGAGAGTATGAAAATATTGAGAAGATGAAAAAAATGGTTATAAAGAATCGTCAAATCACTACTTATTAGAGAAGTTGCTTAGGATGTCGGCATATCGGTTGGTTCCTGCCATGCACTGTGGAAAAACAGTTTATGGCTTTTGCATCACGATAATGTACCTGCTCACTCGCCATTGCTTGCTCGTAGTTTTTTTACCAAAAACAACATCGTGATTATGCCTGAGTCACCGTATTTACCAGTTTGGTCCCTTGCGACTTTTTCCTGTTCCCAAGTTCGAAGAGACTCATGAGAGGATGGCGTTTTGCGACGATTCAGGGGATAAAAGCAAATCGCCGTTATAGCTCAAGGACATGACCAAAAAGTACATGTCAGAACACGCTGGCACAAGTATATTATATCTGAGGAGGACTACTTTGAAAGGGGCAAAATGGAATTGGATGAGTAATTAAATATTTTTTGAGAAAAATTAAAATTAACCTTATTTTTTTAACATACTTGTATACAAATCAAAAGTTTTCGATAGAAATCTAGTCGCGGGCAGGCAGAAAACGTAATTTCAAAATATAATTATTGCGAAGTAAATGAAACAGAATCAAATTACCACAGTCTAAAACAAAAGATAATGTTACCTCAAACTGTAATAACAAAATATCCCGATGAAAACTGAACTCAGATTCACGGGAGTGAAATGGAAATAGTAAATTCTAGAGCTTTGGTGTATCGTCACCACCTCCCTGTATAGTGTTTTTGTCTGATTAAGTAGAGTTTTTGTTTTTTTTTTTTTTATATTCTTATCGCGAGAAGACTGTGGTTTTCTGTCTGCCGCGAGAGGAAGAACATATAGACAAAAAGGTTCGATTCCGGAGAAAGAACCGAAAGTGCTCGAGAAAACTGCAGTTGTACTGGAAAAGTGCAGTTTCTTATCTCTCTCTCTCTATTAACCGATTCCTCAAGTGCCGTTGTGACCAAAATCAAGGTAAGGAAATCACAGACACGTTAAATTCTCTCTTTTTGATATCATTATTATTATTGTTAGTTAATTCTCATTCATTAGCACCACTGAACAGAACGAACTACTCGATAATTTTCAAAGACCTATTAAAACAGTCCACTAAGTTACCCAATATATAACATATAAAAAAGAAAGAAGAAATAAAATGAATTTCATTATTACATTATCATAGCTACAAAAATAAGAAAAAAATTGATTTTTGATCGTGCCTGCACATTGACGAACAAACATGTTTTCTGAATTGCACAGGCTGTTTTTTTCAAAACTTAAAAAATTCTGTATCTCAGCACTGGAAAGTTCTTGTCATCGAGTCCTTATTTCAATTACAGATTATAAATATTAATTCAATTCTCTGCTCCGGTCCTGTACTTAAGTGGAATAATTTTTACCATTATCGCACATCCCATGAAAGACTTTTTCTGATATGATTCCAGCATTTTCTCAAACAACGTTTCATTCCAATGTTCTTGCTCAGCTTTGTGAATTTCGGTCAATCCTCCAGTGAGGTCTCCCAAAGCCTCAGAGACAAATCCGCCGTCTAAATTCTTATAAGATCCATACAATCTTAAATGAAAATAAAAAAAGTGAGAATAATATGAAAAAAAACGGACAATGAAATCCATATCGCATCAGGTGTTACTTCAACTGCTAACTGAATATTTTATGAATATTGAATATTTCATAAATAGGTAATGAATATCTTATCAAACTTATTGTAATAAAATCAGATAAATGGCAATTTAGATAGACCCAAAGAGAGATTCGATAGGCATGAAAATAATTACTTTGCGTATGCTTTTTCCAGCAATGCTGTCCAAAATACATTCTTATCCTTGGATTTAACGTACACTAGTTCTCGAGTGATTTCCCCATTTTCCTCTCTTCTTTGTCGAGTAGGCAACCTATCATCCACAACTACATCAATCCATCTTCCATATTGCCAAAATCTAAAAAGAAATTATCAATATGCTTTAACGTTATTCAGATCATTTCCAGGATAGCAGATATGCTATGAGAAGTTCTTAATTTTTCAGGTAAATCTCTATAAGAAAAAAACAGTTACCACATGTCATTTTTGTCACTAGATTACCCACTATATAGTCAATATATTTTCTCAAAAACTCACTAGATATCCCCAAAAAGTCACTAGATTTTCCCCAAATCATAAAATGTGACAATAACTGAATATAACTAGATCCATCGAAATCCTATTAATTTTGTTACTAGATTCATCGAAAGTTAATTATATTTACCAAAATTTCACAGTATTGCTATCGATTCTAGCATTGAATTAATTGAAATGATTTCGTTACTAGAAATACCACAAATTCATTATATTTACTAAAATTTCATTCAACTTTACCACTGAATTTACAGAAATATCACTACATTTCTATTAGTTTTCAATGAATTTGAATCCCCTGAATGGAAAAATGAACAAGAGATTAACAATTATCACTGAGACTACATCAGAAACTGAACTGATGCGGAATCTAATAAAAAATTTAATGATCTCTTGTTTTATATATTTCTATTTCAGATTATATGGAAAATTGTTCAGACGACTCAGATGAATACTGTTACGTTTTTCCCCCTTGGGTTGACCAATAATTGACTACACTGAATAATCAAACTTAAGTTTATTTCGCTGGAAATACAACAAACACTTCAACTAACAATTTCCACTATTAATTTGAATATCTATCGCCTTACCAGATTACTTCGCGTACCGCACTGTTACGTTCACCTCATTGTGTACTTGATTGTTCGAATACGCTTGCAGCCAGCGTGGAACAATGGAATGTCGCAATGGAACAGCGTAGAATTTTGCCGAAGTTCTATCGACATCGATAGCATGTTTCTTTCTCTTTCTCGAGCGGCAGGTAACACTGGATATTCCCACGCTCTCAGCTACGTCACGTTTGGTTTATGGTTACCAGTGGTGGCCAGCGTTATTTCCTTTCGGGCACGATTTACAACAATACCAATTTCAGTTACTACTCTTCTCAAATAGCTTTTATATAAGTCGAATTTTATTTGGAATCAGTTCAATTTCTGATGAAGTCTTGGCGATAATTGTTAATTTATTGTTCATTTTTCTATTCAGGGAATTGCTGATATCAAATTCGTTGAAAATCAATACAAATGTAGTAGTATTTCAGTAAATTCAATGGTAAATATTGAATGAAATTTCAGTAGATATAATAAAATTGTGGTAAATTTAATAACAAAATCAACAGGAAATAAATCCAGTATAAGTAAAATTTGAGTACACATGTTTAATGAATTGATTGATGTAGCCTTACTACGTGGTAGGAGATCATCATGAAAAATGAGAAAAAAAACTTTCTATGTTTTTTATCACTTTCATTTGTTACTATCGTTACTGCAGTTTCGTCCTATATGGACATTTTCAAACAGTCACAAATAGAAATGGTAAAAAACATAGACAGTTTTATTTCTCATTTTTCATGTACAACTTTCTCGTCAATTTAATGTTCAATTTATTGTTTTTCGCTCAACATAAGCAAGTTATATTCGGTTGTCGTACTCTCACTTTATGTGAGACTCTATAGTGACTTCATGTTCAAACCTATTCATGAGAAAAATGACATGTTGGACCTGTTTCTTCCTCAAGGATATTCTCATAGGATCAAAATAAATATATACTAGAACAAGTGAAGACCTTTGTCTAGATAATATTGCAAATCTCCTAGCCATATTCCTTCCGTATATACTTGCAATCATATGTTAAAAGGTTCTCTTATCTCGCACAAGCCTTCTAAATACATCTGAGGGGGGTTGACAGCAAAACAACTTCAAAATGATATTCAATGATTCCTTAACTTAGAAAGCAAAGAATGATACTGCACGTTATAAACACAACGACTCACTTGCGCGGTAGGTATAATATTATTGTAAATCATGCCCTGAAGAAAATAACGCCGGCCGCCACTGGTGGCCATAAACCAATTGTGATGAGGCGAAGAGCGCGCTCAGTTCGACCGACATTTCGCGGCTATTCTACGGAATTTCGAGGAATTTTACAGCGCCTTCGATTGCCAAATATAAGCGCCATGCGCTATACACTCGCCCATCGTGGCAATCAAGTGAAAGTTACAGTGCTGTACGCGAAGCGATCTAGTAAGGCGATAGACATTCGAATAATAGTTGAAGTTTTTGTTGAAATGTTTGTTGTATTTACAGTGAAATAAAGTTAAATTTGATTATTGTTCAGTATAGTCAATTTTTGGTCAACCCACGGGGAAAAATGTAACATTTGGTGTCGGAAGTGGACGTTGGACATTTTTCCCATGTACTACCCCAAAAGTGAGATGACCATGCCCTCCAAAATACTCATGCAAAATTTTCAATGTGGCATGAGTAGTGTGGCACGTAGCGCTGTCCTGTTGAAACCACAGGCAAAGTAAAGAAGGCTATTATTTTCCACCAAGTTGAGTATTGATACTAATAACTTCGTTATCGAGCTCTGATGAATCATTAATATATTCAATGGCATGGTGTGCTCATATACATTATGAAATATTCAGAAAAGTCATCCATAAACAGTTATCCAATCAATTTTAAAGTTCTATTTTGAGAAAAGAAAATTAATTTTACAAGAACACATTTTTACTCGAAAAGTATGATATGCTTTTTTTTCAAAACTTCCACTATAAAAACTGAAATTTCCACTTAAAATTCCACTTTGAAATTGAAGTACATATTTTTGCACCAGAGGCAACTTCACACTTTGGAACTTCTTCAACTTCAATGAAAACAAGGTGTTAACAATAGATTTCAGTGATTTAATATAATCTCTCGCTCGGATGAGGATCTGTTGCCTTCCATTTCCACTCCATTCCTTAAAACTTGAGAAAGTGGATTTACACGTATATTGTCAGTTTTGAAACTAGTTATTTGAAAGTGCTTAATAAATTGGCCGCGGTGGTAGTGCGCCCGACTCACGATCGGAAGATCGTTAAAAGTTAAGACCTCGTTAGTCCTCAGTTCGCACAAGTTTCTCAACTTCTGAGAGTTGTCGTTCGTATGGGGGCGACAGCTGATTAACGGAAAAACAGATTTTAAAACAGATTTAAAACAGAAATACTAAAGTTTTTCAGAAAAAGAAAAGCTCAAAATGTCAATATCACCTACCTGAAATGAAAAATTCCAGCATAGTTTTTATCAAAACTTTGATCACTTGGGACAACTCTCTCTAGAATTTTATAATTCTGAGTAACATCTGCCAAAGCAGCCATAAACCAGCAATCGCCCAATTCACCTTGATTAACATCAAATCTATCTTCTTTTTCACCGATGAATATGGGATTTTTTCTGATTTCCTTAAAAACATAATAAATTGATCCTTGAGAGATATTCTTACGAATAAAACACTTATGATGTTATATAACGCACTAGCCGAATCATTTGTAACACATTGCATAACACCTTGGGGTGGATCATTTAAAACTACATTTCACCATATTCAAACTGTTCAAAGTATGTTACTAAAATTGATCTTCAGAAAAAAATGGACTTATTCCACTAATTCATTATACAAAGAGGTGAATATCATGACATGTCGTGAGCTCTACGAATATCAGTACCTTAAAAAGATGTTTTTTCAAAATAACACTTTTGAAAATTATAACAGTAGAATAACCAGATCAAAATCTAACCAAAATATCTATTCACAACTTTTCAAAAAAACAATTACTCAAAGATCGTTATTTTCTTTTGCACATAAATTATACAATACCGTTCAAGTGGAACTGAAATCTACAAAAAAAATATTAAATACAAGTAAGACATAAAAAAATGTATAATGAGTCATCCTGAAAAATTCAATGTTCTGTTTCAATAAACTGTCTTTCCCCTCCTCTCGTCGTCTTCCTCGCTTTCTTCTTGTTTGTTTACTCTGAAACACTCTTTGTAATCAACATTTATTGTATAATTATATGAAGAAAGCAGTTGAGATTGGGTCACAGCACAGGCATTTCATGCCTAGATGCCCTTGTCTCTTACTGGTATTCTTTCGCTAGTAATAATTTATAATAGTTGATAAATGTACACTATAGGTACTTAATGAATAAAATTGAAAATCGAAATTGAAATTTGTTTGGTTCAACCTGCTTTGAATGAATATCTCATTTATTCAGACTTTCGAATTCCAATTCTCATAAAATAAACTTTGAAAAAGTTATAATATTTGAAATAAATTTCTTTTGATGAAACTATTATTATCAATTTCATTACCTTAGGCCTCAACCATTCAACATTGTCTAATTTTACTTCTTCTCCCAACTCTGTTTCATTTGGAACAAATAGGGGATCTTCAAATAAAGTTCCACTCTGTAGATGGCTTTTCTTCAGTTCTTCATAATTTTGCAGAATTCCTCTAGATTCCAATCCAGATGATTTTTCACCAAGCTTGAAAATGGAAGAGACTCAAGAATTATGAAATAATATTAATTTCAATTTTGTGAAAATGTCCCTGAAAGTACGATGTACGATGACATTCGTAAAACATTTAACTACTGTACGAAAAAATTAATTTTCAGAGAAGAAAATTTTTGTGGCTTTCTTGTTCCCCATTCATACACAGGGTGTTTCAAATTCGATCCTCACCATTGGGATCTCGGAAACTATGAGAGATACGAAGATAGTTAAATTAGGGAAAAGTGTATATCCGGAGATATCCGGAAAAAACAGAAATTTCGGAAAATGGTTTTAATTTTTTTTTTGCTTGATTTTTCGAATGATTCAAAAAAAAATTGCACTTCCACATTGCCACATTGACATTTTGTTATTGTACAAGTCATTGAATTTTTGGCGAAAAGTGGCTTTCACGAACGAAGAGAAAAGAGATGTGATACAAATTTATTACAAATATGATAGAAACAGTGTTAGGACATCAGACATGTATTTAAACTTGTATCCCAAAAAACGACAACCACATCATACTATTTTCAAGTTATTGGATCAAAATCTCAGCGAGTTTGGTTCGTTTGAAAAGCCAGTGAAAAAATACGGAGTCAGAAAAAAATAAAAACTATTTTCCGAACTTTCTGTTTTTTCCGGATATCTCCGAATATACTTGGGATTTCAGAATTTTCTCAACGGCATATTGTTAGTCAGGTAAATGTGCAACTTTGCCCCAATTTAACCATCTTCGTATCTCTCATAGTTTCCGAGATCCCAATGATGAGGATCGAATGGGAAACACCCTGTATAGAGTGAAAAACTTCTATAAAAAATGAATAATTTGAAAATGTTGAGGTCACCTCTTTATGAAAATGTGTAGAACATGCAAAGAAACTTTTCTCATATACAAATCGGAAAAAACTCCGAAACCCATGCTTTCCTTTAAGAAATTTAATTTGATTAGTAGAATTGGGAACCTCTGCCATGAAATGAATCTATTTAGAACAACTTTCCTCACCAGAACTGAAATGCTGTTTCTCGACGCGCGTTTCGCTTACGCGCTAAATATCAAATTTAAAATATAAATTTGTGAATAAGCAAATATAATATATCTTGATGAAAATTGCGATAGTTAAATAATGAAAGTTTAGTTTCGAAAGTGAAAAAAAGTTTTGGGTTTTGGCAGATTTTCTTCATAACTTTTTCATCAATATCTAATACAATAGGTTTTAGTTTCAAGGTGTCACTTAAGACACCTTCAAACCATTTGGAAGTTTTTTTTTTCTTGAGACAATAGTATGTTTAACTACATCTTGCTAGTACGAACACGCCTCAAGAAGCTATTGTATAGTAAACAAGTGTTGCGGTTTTGTAAACAGCTCAGTAAAACTTCCACAATGAAGCGTTACTTGGATACGTTAAAGATTTTCATCAAACGTGGATCAATTCAACCAAATAAAAATTTGTGACTCACCATATATATTTTTTTTGGATCAAATCCGGTACACTTATGTGCGTGTGACATTTCTCTAATTTATGACACCAAAAACTGCACCCAAATACCTACTTCTTTCAGAACTTATATATTCTATAGATTAGATAATGATTTTTATCAGTGATGGGGATATTTTGTACCTATTGATTATTGATGTTAGATTTCATGTTTGGTTTCGCAAATCAGCTTCGGTTCTTGGAAATGTATTATCTTCTGCCATTTGTTTTGTCCCTCCCAATAGCAAATCGAAATTCAGTGATAAGAAAATCAATCATTACAAAATTGTGATTCTCAGAAAAACTGATTTCCAGTGAAACGAATGAATTATTCATATTGATACTTTTCATGAAAATGTACAGTTCAGCCAATGGATTCTGTAAAAAGAAGAGGCACATTTTCCATGGAAAGACATCCTCCTAGCAAACTCACGAATTGATACAAATAAGTTCTGTTTGACTTTGAATCCTTCGACGTTCTTATGAAAATAAGGCAAGGGTACGCAATCGTCACCTACTAGATGTTAAAATACTGTAACGAATCTGAAGCCGCCCCTGACTGATATTCCGGCCGACTCAGCGAACAAACACATGACCTCACCGCGAAAGAATGCAGCCGGGAATCGCCGGTAAAACTCTAGAACCGAACCGACTACAAATTTCTAGGAGGAACCATTACCGATATAAGCACGGCTTCCCGACCCAAGAGGACAGTTCAGAAAGTGAATCGAGCGGTTAAACAAGAAATTCAAATAGTAAAAATAAATTGAGCGTTAGTTGCTAAGTGTTGTTAATAAGTTAGTTTGTGATTAGTGAAATATTGTTGGAAAAAAATTTGTTTAATACAGTTAATTCTTTAATTGTTACAATACATTGAATAACTCAGAAAAAATGGACAGAAAATCTAAGCCCTTTCATGGACACTCTGAGGGTAATAATCATTTATATCATCATTACAAGAGTGTTTTGTAATCTCAAGTTGATTTGTTTCAATCCTGGCATAAGTAGCATCGCTAAATTCTTGTGTCGAACATACCTATCTGCGGTCACCTGAAAGACATTGGGTGCTTGTGCTTACTTCTTCAATCAATGGTTCCAGTAATTGAATAGAATTGGCCGATACTTGATGAAAATCCATATTAAAACAGTTAATTGTGTGATTTTCACGATAAAGGGTTTTACTAAAACCGTGACACGTATTTCGCTATACAATAGCTTTCTCGAGTAAGTATAAAATACGCTTAAGAAAGCTATTGTATAGCAAAACACGTGTCGCGGTTTTTGTAAAACTCTTTATAATGAAAATCATACAATGGTTCCAGTTGTTTTTCTCCTTGATAAGAACTTTGTCCGGGGAGAACAGAAACCTTGCTTTACGCAATACTGTACTCTTTTCTTCTTCTTCACTACTTTCACACTTGATTTTTTACTTTTCTTTCATCAACATTTTTTTATGTCACTGGCGACTTCGTCAAATCCATTGGCATTCGATTTCCTTCGGCTTAAGGAGTGGTCAGGAAGATTTCGAAACAAAAAGCGGTCTTACTCAAATGAGCCGACGAATATTTCTGAGCTATATGGAGAATTTGCTAGTATTCTTGATTTTTACTTGAAAATCGATCCTGAACTTCACACAATCACCATACACTGTCATTTGGTGCCATCTGACCACAAACTCATATCAGTTTCAAGTGAATTACCAATAAATGTATATTATATAAAGTTGGGTATTACAGTTCTACTAAATGGAAAAGAGCTTCGAATATTGGCTTCTGAAGTAACTGAAGTTATTCTATAAGGCCTCTCGTCAACTAGGAGCGGAAATCTGCGCACTGCGAAGCAACGAATTCGTGCGATGCACATCGTCCATTGTCTCTTGTGGCAAGAGGAGTCTTGGCTCAGTATTCGTCAGGATTTGTAGTAGGCGAGAAGGTGCTTTGGAACGAGTTTTTAAATTATTATGATGAATAATTTTTCGTTTTTGAATTATTATCTATGATTCATCGTATCAGGCACAGGCGATATCGACGAAGGCGGGAAATGTAGGTGAATCCCATTTACGCAAAAAGAAAGGAGTTTGGTGATTTTTTTTCATTCATGGCATGATCTTCATACCGACGAATACCACCACTTTCCTTATTTTCGATTGAGAAGGGACACATTTCAATACATTATTGCAACTATTTTCGCACTAGATCGCAATTAAATCCCAGCAGAACGGGTCGGTTCGCAATTTGCACCTAGTCGGACTAAAACTGACAAACGATACGGGCCAAGTGGACGCATTCCATACCGATCGATTTGTTTGGATCATTCGTGCGTTGTCGTGCGAATTCTGACGGATTGATTGCACAAATGAAGAATTAGGAATGAACATCTCAAGGCGGATTTCCATCAAACAGACAAAACCACAACAAAACAGCAACTGTGTCGATTTCGACAAAACAAAAACTTGAGTTGTCATAATAAAGATGGATTTCCACCAAACGGACTCGCTTACGACTAGTTTCGGTTTCAAAAACAGAAATGAAAAATTTGTTTTAGCTTCGAAAACAAACTCGAATTCCATCAAACAGACAAAAACTGGCCTGAGTCACGTGTTTTGTTGTGAAATGTTTTCCTAGGTTTCCACTACAAGAACAATTTTTTTTTTCATCAAGTCTTCTGCATTCTCTGTTTTATAAGAATTGCTAGCGAGACGCTAGAAGAAATAAAAAATTGATAGTTAATGAAAACTGGCAGTCAGGGCTTTACAATATATCGATGTTTTGAGGATTGAAGTGAACAAACGAGGATACATTGTTTATAATATTCAAGAACAATACTATTATGTTCGTGCAATTATTGTCGGTAAAAATGATAAAAAAGACAGACGGTTTGGAAAAAACCGTAAATGTCGAAATTTTCATATTTTTTCAACTCACTTTTCTGGAGGCCCAGGGACAAAAATACGCCTGCCCTGCCCTCCCCCAAATCCGGCCCTGCTTAAAATTTAAGTACAAAGTACAATATCAGCAGCATTACCAATATGTGAGGAATCTCTCACATTGAGAGGAATTAATACTGATGTGAGCGAGTTATGACTATTGATTCAAATGTAAGGATTCTGTAGGATTCTAACAGGCGAACCTGAGGGAATAAACAAAATTGAAAAGAAAAAGACGCCCTATTTGTAGATGCAATAAAAAAACGGTTTTTTAATTTGAATGTTCTGGTTCAACTTTTTAATAAATCAATATTCTCAATTAGTTACTTCATTTGTCATTTGTGATGCATGAATGGTGGTTGAAAAGTAACTTTTCAGTGAGTTCTACATTTGACATATGAATATATCTTCCTGTTTCATGTATTCCTATTTTGAAATCAAGAGTTTTCAGTCACATTTCAAAAACTATGATATTTTGCAATGACGTTATATGCATTTATGGACTCTTTTATATATTTTTTGTTTCGTTCATCAGGAATCAGAACATTTATTCAGAAATTTGAAATGTCGAAATAAATCTATGAAAAAAATATGAAGATTTTGTGAGGTACAATATGAGGATCTCTCGAAACGGGCTAAAAGCTTGGCTTTGCCGAGACCCTCGGGCTCGGATAAAAGCGACTCGGCTCGAAGCTCGGCTCGTGAAAAATTCGGCAGCTCGGCTCGTGCTCGAATAAGTTTCGACTTCCAACCCAGCTTTGTTTCCAAAAATTGATTCAAGAGGTTTCTTTTACGAACCAAAACATTTGAACTTCTTTCCAACCTCTCACTTGCATCTAATGGCCATAAATTTGATTACGAAGAGAATAAAAAATTCTCACTGCTTACTTTTTTGATCAAGGACCACCTGAGAATGTTTTCAAAACACAATACTTTTTGGCGCCTAGATATTTCATTAAATGAGGAGACTTCAGTTAATATATACAGTACATGTCAGAGAAGATACATTAGTTTGGATGAAAAACAAATGACCTAGAATGCCTCCACGACTTTTCCCTAATAAACAACAGGATAAAATACATCACATGGGATGCCTCTGTACAAGATATGTTACATTATCACCTAAGAAAGTGAATTTCCACGGTCTAGGAAATATCATCCCCCTGAAAGTCTCGACAACCTCTCTCCAAAGAAAAAAAAAACAGTTGTAGTTTTGGCCTATTAAACACATAAACATATTTTTTAAATATATTTTCTTGAAATGTTATTCACAGAAACACAAATAAAAAACATGTTTTCGTATAAATCCAATTTGTATTGCATAAAAACGACTAAATAGTATCGATAAATAAGATTTTATTATATTTTTGCACTTGTGAAATTCAAAAATATTCAACATTGGGAGAGTACAATCATTTGAAAATTATAAGAGTATCGTATTTATAATAGGTACCGATTGAATCTTAAATAATCTCACATTGGCAAAATGAGTAGTACAATTCCAAGAAGATTATGTTCATAAAAATATTTAGGCATAAAGAGTATTTTCCAGCCACTCCTCCATTGAAAATGTAGCAGAGTTTGTTAGTGAAGGATCTTTTTCTTTGAATATATCTGAAAAAAATACAGATCGACTTTAAATTAGAAATTGAAGGCGTTTTCATGCCTAGTTCTATTCAAACACATAAGCACATACAGTTGTACAAATACTACACCAAAAAAATGTTCGAGAACTGACGAATTTATTGGAACAATTTGTTCCCCACCCCCAGGCTCATACAAGCTAATAAGCCTGATGTAGTCTTTCTCCACCACCAGAGCAAGACAATATTTGTGTTGGAGTTTTCAGCTCCTGGTGAGACAAATATCGTCCGAAAAGAGGAGGAAAAACGGATAAAATATCAATATTTTCTCTTCGAACTCCGCAGACTCTATCCAGACCACTCTGTCAAGTTGGTTGTTCTGATTATTGAAGTTCTTGGTGGAATGATGCTCTCTCTACTCTCGAATCTTAAAATCATACCGGCTTGCCGCACTAAGGCAGAAATCTTAGCCGGACAGATGCAGAAAGCTATCATTCTTGGCTCACTGCATGCGCTTGCTCAGGGCAAATGATTCTCGGATCCAATGATCACTTACACCACGGTGTGAGGAGTCATCGTTGGTTGGTAATGCTGGCGCGCCCTACCGAATGTATCGGGGCTTCGGGGGATAGGGCCTGACCAGCGCAAACTACGGTAAAATAATAATAACAATATCGCCTTTATTATTTCATAACTAAGACAAAAAACTCAACATAACTTATATATTCGAGTATCAATTGAAATATAGGGCGAAGTTCATCACGAAAAATGTTCTTCCATTTATCTAATGAGTGAATTGATGACATGAAAGAGAAACGTTTTTTCATGTTATTGGTTGATTGAATAAAGACATATTTTCAATAAGAAATCAATATCCAATGTATTCCGTATGGATATGAAATTATTAATTCGTATTGGTTTGTTTTGCTTCAAAGGCCCTAAAAATGTTCCTTGTACACTACACTGAAGTATGTATTGAGATTTTAACAAGACTCAGCTTCACAAACCATATGGATGTATCTACAATTATGAATTCTTCAATAACTTCAGGTAAGATAAATAGGTATGTAATTAATCATCTAGTATTTTTTGACTACCTTTCTTCAACAACTTTGCGTACACGTTTACTCTACAAAAGAGCTAATTCTTATTTAAATGTTTTACAACAATTTTAAACTTACCGATCACTGTTTTCAACTTGACAGAACACATCATGAAATCATCGAAGTTGATTTGACCTCGTTTACTTCCATATCTGTGCATAAGTACATTAAGAACTTTGTTGTTCAATCGATAGCCAGCAGAATGTAAGGCTTCTCTCAGTTCAAATCCACTAAATGTACCAGATTTGTCTGTGTCATACATTTCCCAAACATTCTGAAAAATAAAGTATCCATTTAGTTGTAGATAATTTTCATAACTTAGGACCTTAATATAGAGTGTAATGAATCTGAAGCCGCCCCTAACCGATACGCCAGCCGGCTCATCGAACAAACACATGACATCACCGCGAAAGAATGCAGTCGGGAATCGCCGGAAAAATTCTAGGACCGAACCGACTACAGATTTCTAGAACGGACCGTTACCGATACAAGCACGTCTTCCCGACCCAAGAGGGCAGTTCAGAAAGTGAATCGAGCGACTAAACAAGAAATTCAAATAGTGGAATTAAATTACATAGATTAGTTTGTGATTAGTGAAATATTGTTGGAAATAAATTTGTTGAAGACAAGCTAATTTATTAATTTGTTACAAGAGGTTTGCCTAGAATATATTTCAAAACAAAACTGAGAAGCATTATTAGAAAGAAAAATTAATGAATACTACAACCGCATTTACTTTTCGCGAATATAGTTCATTAGTTGTTATAATACACATTTCAATGTGGAAATATTATTACGAATTTTAGACTTTTGATATTGATATTGTCTGATCCCATTAGCGGAAGAATTCTTTCACCGTATAATGAAAAAAGACCAAACAGTGACAGTATATCGCCTTAGAGCAACACAAGGTTATATAATGGTGACAATTGGTGATATTCTTTAACAATCTCGAGGATCGGGAATTCCAAATTCCGAGACCAAATGATGGTTCATCGTGTTTCGCAAGGATACTTTAATGAATGCATCAGTCATATTCGCTTGATAGTCTATGCACAAACTCCGTGATGCTTTCGAACCGACAATATATAACTACTGTTTTCAACAGTAATTATATAACTACTCTTTTCAACAGTAGTTATATAACTGTTTTAAACAGTAGTTATATATTGTCCCTCAAGAGCGTCGTAAGACATTACTAAGGAAACACTTTTTTTTCTCCAGAAAAAAAAAATGTCTCTCGACACACGTTTCTCTAACCAAGTTAGCATCATCGGGCGATACAAGGTAATTATTCATATAGATGCATATAGAAACATTAACATAGTTTGCGTAACGAATAGTTTCAGTCATATCGCTATATAGCCAAGTTAGCATCGTCAGGAGGTGGCTTTAGTTGCTGAATTTTGACCAAAAAACATACCAAAAAGTGCATATAAGAACTGCTTCGAGGATTGGAAAAAACGCTGGCAAAAGTGTATTATTTCTGAAGGAGACTACTTTGGAGCGGAAGAAATATAAATTGATAAATGAATAAATATTTTTTGAGAAAATGAAAATTCAGGGTGTTAGTACCGATTGAGTCGAACTGCTATTAAATCTTGCAAATATATTGGAAATACTGGTCGGATAAAAATGACAATAGATAGATGTTAAATCACGACGACTTCCAAGTTTACAATATACGTAGACCTGTTAAGTCATAAATTATTTTGGAGTAGAAATATATTTTGAATACAAAAAATTACTAACTCATTAGTAATCTAGGCGTTATGTTATAATGTATGTACATATATCATCAAGACGTTTCACTTTGTTGGAAAACATTTGTCGAAAATAGTATTTTGCAGTTGATGAATTTTATTTTGTCATTCATTAGTCTTTCAATTTTTAGTATCTAACCTTCCACTGTAGGATTGAAGACCACAAATTCTTGAACTCTTGATAACCCAATTTTCCGGATCGATCAGTATCCAACATGGCAACCATACTTCGGCAAATATCTTTCGAAAATCCCTCAAATTTCATTTCTAAAAAAAAATAAAATATGTTCATATAGATTCGAAACCTATAGAGATCAATACATGCATATATTGACATTTTTCTATAATCACAAGTCGGTGGAGGGAGAAAAGAGCATGCACTGTCACCAACTATCATTGATATTTGTGAGTTGTGAGTTGTTTAAAAAAGTGTGAAATGTACTATAGGAGAAGCTGAAAGAAAAAATTTTGTATTTTTGTTTTCAGTGTTCAATGTTTGGGAGTAGCATCGAACACGAATAAATCACGTATAGAATTGAAAAAAGACATCTATGAATATACACATGCTGACCTACCAGAAAATATGCCCTGTGAGGTAGTTTGTTCTGGTATTGTACCTTTGCACAATGTACCACACAATAGGCCCACAAGAATTGTGAATACATTTTTACCCCCTTCTTGAATTCGGATTGGTGGAGCTACATTTGCTCCATTCACCTCAGGCTTGTGGTTTGGTTTACCGATGTCCTTTATTTGAATCAGTTCTAATGAAAAAACATCAAAATTGATATTCTGTTGGGATGAAAGATATATTTAAAGTCAACTCAGACATAAAACTTCAAGTAGAAATTAATTGAAAAGTGCTTTGGTATTCACAAACTTTCCTCAAGCTATCCAATCAGGTTTTTTCATATGGTGACAGGTGTCGAAGATAAAGTTTTTAAGAAAAGTATGAATTTGAAAAATATTGATGCAAATCATGCCCTTAGGAAAAAACGTCGCCCGCCGCTGGTTACAGAGAATTTAGACTGTTATTTTTTTATTGTCGATGGTTGGCTGTTCTTGTTTATTATCTCACTGGTTCTAGGAAGAGTTATTATAGGTATATACCTCTACTAATTTGTATTAGCTATCGTGTTTCCTGTTTTCCAGTTTGTAATATTTTCACTCGTGAACGTATTCATAATCCAGATTTATATATGTAAAATTGCAACAATACCTACATACCGGTTATACCGAATACATACAATTTTGCGCAAAATGTGATTTTTTATACCCGAGGGGTGGTGGTTGGAATTTTTTTGTCGATTATGATTATTCTGGTCGAGATTCATATATGGTAGACCCGACCTGCAAGAATTTCTGCCGACCTGCAAGGTTTATATTCAAATTTATGAGAAATTTGTTTTTTTTAAACGGAGATTTTAAATTCCTAATGTCGGAAATGATTGATTTGATTGATTTCCTCATCTGGGAGTCCTGACATTCATACAGAATTACAAAGGCAATGTTCACTTAGAACAATTTGCTGACCTGCAAAATAGTTCTTGTCGAAGCGTCTATTCATTCATTTGTGTTTTCTTTGCCTTTTACACACTTTTCCAACTCAACAAGAAAGAGAGAGAGAAATTTCAAGTCATAAGTTGTTTTGTGTTTTATTTACGATAAAGAACACCTGTTCTTTACCATAAACCAACCACAAAACACTCTTGAATTTTGATTTATTATAGTGTTTGATATTGAAAGAAATCGGTGTGAATGCGATGGTTATTTTTCGATTTGCGATTCGCACAAAAAATGCGTATATTCCACTGAACCCCTTTTCAATTTCAATGGCATATTCGGGTAAGCATGAAATGGCCTTGGATTACAAGAAAACAATGCTCAACACGTACCATAATGTCAAAAACCGCAAAGTATCCAAGGAACAATGAAGATCAAAAATCTACATTGAGACACAAGGTCATAACTTATATGAATCGAACCATCCTTTCCACCGGTTGTTACAGGTAGTACACCTGTTTAATAAAACAGGTGTTACGACGTTGCCAAATTGAGACATGAAAAATAAATTACTTCTAGATTGAAGTTCTAATTCAGAAAAAAATATATCTTTGATATATTTGTTGACCCCTGAATACACGGACTCCAATTTTTTTAATACTAGAAAGAATAGTGTTCTTGCCCCGACCCCGATCCAACAGAACATTTTATGATCTCATTGACTCTTGTACCATTGGTTGTACTGTTGACTGTTACTGCGGCAACCGCTTTCAATTTTCAGTGTCAACAATAGAAATTAGGTGGTTTTTAAAATGTTGACTCTAGCGTTTGAATTAAAATCGAATGTTTACTTTTATTTGAATTTGTCACTGACATCAGATTTTATTTTACATCTGCAAAGAGAACAAATTCAAAAACCCTTCTGAAAATGAATCTGAAATAGTTGGAAACAAACTGAAATTATGAGGTCTATTCCTAAGTGGGTTGATAAAATCCAGGACAGTGATAAACTGGGACAAAGGTATGTCAGAAAAGTGAAATAATCTAATTTCAATAATTTATTTCAGCTTGTCTACTTTTCTGTAATATATAGAGAAATAGAAACTTTCAAAGAAAGATAGTAACATTGAACAAATATTATTCATCAAAAAACTGCATAGTATAATAAATGGTATGATAAACATTGTATATACTCCAGGTTTCAAAGTGGGCCCAGGATTTTGGTTGAAAATACTTGTTTTTAGATAGATTGTGGGATGATTCATTTGAATCCTTGCAGTCAGGATAATTGTGACTTGGAAACAAAAAGGTTGAATATAAATATTAGGTATTCTCATTACTGTTGAACTAATTTGTTTTTATTAACCAAGACTTGGGATTAAAACATCAAAAGAAACAAAATGATCACTCATGGTAATTCACAGTTGTGATAGACCTCAACTGAGCGTAAAACACTAAGTATAATTTGAAATGCAGTAACTTTTGTAATTCAACTGATATAAGGTTTCTTCATCCCGACCAAACCCAAAGGTAATGAAAATACACAGAAAAATTAGAAAATAGTATTCAAGTTCTTCAAATACTGTTACGAGTTGAAAACACATTGAAAAAGAAAAATATCTGTAGATCTACTAGTTTCAGATATGTACCTTTTTCCATTTTGTGTTTAAAAAAAACATCTGTTAATGATTTACAGATTTCTCTGAATAATTTTCATAAATACTTTTCAACAATTAATCATTTGAAAGTTTCATATAATTTATATATTAATGAAAAACTAAAAATCCAAAAGTGAATACTTCCAAAAATTAATTTCTGAAAAATCGTTATTTTTTTTGCAGTATCTACGATTTGTGCTTCAACCCTGATGGCACTCAATTAATAGTAGCTGGTGGTAACCATGTGTTAGTTTATAATACCACTGATGGAAGCCTTATACAGCTTTTGAAAGGTCACAAAGACAAAGTTCATACAATTTCTTATGCCAAAAATGGGGAAAAATTTGCCAGTGGTAGTGCTGACAAGACTGTGATAATATGGTCCAACAAACTGGAAGGGTTGCTCAAGTATAGTCATAATGACTCAGTTCAGTGCCTGGCTTTCAATCCCCTGTCGCACCAACTGGCTTCATGTTCTTTGTCAGATTTTGCTTTTTGGAGCACTGAACAGAAGGCTGTTCAGAAACACAAAACAAATGTAAGGATCAATTCATGTTCCTGGACTAATGATGGCCAGTATTTAGCTCTGGGATTGAATAATGGTGTAATATCAATTCGTAATAAATTAGGAGAAGAAAAAAGCAAAATAGAATGTACAAATAACTCAGCAATATGGGCTTTGAGTTGGAGCACAAATAAAGAAGATCAAACAGATACTCTGTGTGTAACTGACTGGAGCAAAACGTTGGCCTTCTATACACTTGGAGGGAAATTAATTGGTAAAGAAAGAAATCTGGGATATGAGGCTCTGAAAGTCAAATACTTCCCGCATGGCAATTTCATTTTGATCGGAGGGCTGAATAAAGCTTGCAGTATGTATACAAAAGAAGGTATCAAGCTGGGAGTGATTGGCGATACACAAAATGCTTGGGTTTGGTGCTGTGAAGCACATCCTAGTGGAAATTTTGTGGTGAGTAGTTTGAAATGTTTCTTAAAAATCATGATGTACCTGCTGCTTGTGGGGGAGTTTCATTAGTGGGCTTCTTTAAATATTTGCCTCTTTCATTTAGACCTCAAATTTTCTCAAATATTTTAGTGGAGAAAGAAGAGTTCTTGTATGATTTAACAGATTCACATGTAGACTATGTTTCATCTTCCAAACAAGAGTAACAGTTCTGAAAGATTCTTTTTGAAAATTGAAAAAGAATACTAACAATTATCAAATCTATAGGAACATATATTCTATATTAATATAATGTACATAATGAAATGGTAGATAAGGGAAAGTAAGATAAATTGGGGTGTTTTCAATTCTTACTATAATTCAAAATGGGTTAATGTTTCAGAAGTCTTTCATGGGTAATATTTCTTTGTACAAAACGTGGTTCAGGACTGCTTGACTATGTCATCTCTAAATTACTAATTCTGTAAGTAATTTCATTCGTAATTTGGTTAACAAGTTATTTGTAAAAAGTGAAATATCACAAAGAATATTTACATTGTATAAATTTACATAGTGACAAACAAAAAATAATTTGCATAAAATTGGCTCTATGAAATCAACTTGTCTGTTCTTACGCAGATTCCTAAGAGACAAGTAACAGAATGAATCATATACTTTTTTGGCAGAATTAAGACCTTGTTAGAATTACTTGAAAGAGTGTGTAACTATTTATTTATTTATTTATCGGGTAACCCCCAATTTTTATACAATATATTAACCTTAGAAAGTTAACTATTCTAGTATCTATATATCTAATAAAAAATTAAAATAAAATTGTGATAAAAAAATAGTCTTATAAATATCTATACCACCTAGAGTATATCTAAGAGTGCTCTGAGAGATGTGAAAAAAATCAATATTGGTCCCATTGGCATTCAATAGAATTCTGGACAAAGGAGAATGTTTTCCATAATTATGGAACATATTATGATCTATTGACCATATTTTATTCACCATATATAAAATTTTGAATTATGTGATGTAATCTGCAATGATTTTTCAGGCTGTGGGTTGTGAAGATGGAACTATTGCCTACTATCAGCTGGTATTCAATATGGTACATGGTCTATACAAAGAAAGATATGCTTTTCGTGAAAACATGACTGATATTATCATACAACATTTGATCACTGAACAAAAAGTTAGGATCAAGTGTCGAGATCTCATTAAGAAAATTGCAATTTATACGGATCGATTAGCAGTAGGTACCAAAGATGACATTTCATTATCTATATAATACGAATTCCTTCAATTGAAAAAACTTTGAACTAAGACTCATTAAACATTTGAAACTCGTAAAATATTGGGTTTCAGTTTCAAATAAAAAGTGTTGATTTTTCCTTTGAGTTACTATAGAAAGAGTATTTGAAACTTGAATAAGATTTTTCAATAGTGACACTTTTCTAGGTTCAGCTGCCTGAAAGAGTAGTAATCTATGAACTCTACTCGAAGGACGCCAACGATATGCACTACAGAGCTAAAGAAAAAATCACCCAAAAACTTGACTGTAGTCTATTAGTGGTATGCTCTGATCATTTAGTTATCTGTCAGGAAAAGACACTACAAAGTATGCGTTTTTCTGGAGAAAAGGAAAAAGAATGGAATTTTGAAAGTCCTATCAGATACATAAAAAATATTGGAGGACCTTCAGGCAAAGAAGGATTACTTTTAGGCTTGAAAAATGGTCAAGTGTGGGAAGTTCATCTTGACAATATTTATCCTTTACTCAAGGTGAGGAACTCACTCATTTATGGTTTTATGCTGTACTATATAACCATCAAAACCTAACATTGTGAAAACATAGTATATAGTAAAACCAATAATGATTGAGAGTAAAGCGTGTTGTCATATCTAAATTTTACGTTACCAGTTTATAGCAGAATCAAAATATAGTAAGCAGTAGAGTTGTAGGTTGTGGCAAATTATAGATAATACACAATACTAGTACGATTAAAAGGTATTATTTATGACAAAAATTAGTAATGAGCTTGTAATGAGTAATACTTATACATTTCCTGATTACTGATCAGTTAAAATTCATTATTTTCTGTATAGTGTTAGATATTTATTACAACTAGTGGCAACGCTGTACGCAACGATATTTCTGTCTTTGTCACTTTACCGTAACTTCTATCTCATCGTTGCAGTCCTCACTAATGTACTTGCAGCCATGAGCGTATCATTGGTTTGTGAATTATACAGCGTGAATTGTACGTTTTACAGTTAAGTTAGTCAGCAATCGACGTGTTGTGATAACAATTGGTGAAAATAATAGTGCTAATAAGTGTTTAAGCGTTACATAACTATTATATTTCTACACCGTTCTCAAACTACTCAAAAAATGAGAGACATGGTCGGGCCTTCCATGTCGAAAAAGGTAAAACGGTCAGAGTTCACCTTTTCAAGATTCTATATTGAAGTAAAACTTGTCATGATCAATATGTATTGAAAAATTGATAGATAGAAAACATCATTTGAGTTGCACTTGTAATCATATGCTACGTCTACTGTGAATTTATACACATATTATAAAAAACTATTTTTGGAAAATAAACCTTATGGCTTTCTATTTCTTCATCAAACAAAAAATGTGGGAAAGAGGAAGGAATAAATAATAAAAACTCTTTACAAACTGTGTAGATCATACACAGAAGTTTCTTTCAGATACAAACTGAAAAAAAGTTGATCTGAAACAAATACTTCTTTGAATATGAACATTTAATTCCTTTTTATTCGCATTCGCAAAGAAATTGGAACAGATATAATTCACAGGAATGCTACACAACATAATATGTGAAAAAGATATTGATATTATTCTATTGAAAACACTCTCCACACTAGAACAAAACTACTGCTTGTCTATGCGTGTTACGTTAACCAATTTAGCATCATCAGGAGATTTCCCAAGATGGAAACACTGTCTTTTTTTTTTCAAATTGAGTTGTATTTATGTAACATTTCCAGTTAAGGTTCCTATTATAAACATTTATGTTTTTGGGTTCAATAAATGATTGATTGATTGATTTCATTCTTAACATTATAACTTCATGTCACTGGAAGAGACAACTCCCCTCTTTTCATTTCATACGGTTAGTCATATAAATTCAAGTCAAGAAAAGAATATTTTTGGGAGAATGGAAGGCCAAACATTTTTTTCATCAAAAACAGCTCTTGCAAAAATATTTTCTTTTCAATTCGTATGAAACCACAATATTAAGAATATATAAATATGATAGTAATAATAGTTTATCGATGTATTCTATTTTTATGAACCCAAAAAATTGACAAAAACAAAATAGAATAAAAAAATTATCAACTCATTATTTTGTGAAAGGATGTAGATCTTTCAGGAACAAACTTCATTTGCATTTTCAAAACCAAACTACTTCTTAATCACTATTCAAAAAAATTGAATTTAATAATTTGTGGAACATTTGAAAATTCATCCATATTTATTGAGTTTCTCCAATTTACCATCATTGCATTAGAAAATGTATGTGAAGTTCTGGCTTTCGGCTAGACAGATAGCAGTTCCTAATATTCAATAAAAGTTTTTGGTTTTGTCTTTTTACATCTTCGGGAATATTTTCCACCAAACAACTTGATTCAATGATCAAATTTTCAACAGACTTATCTAAACACAATATAGTGCCTCTATTGTTCATTTGTCCATAGTTCGTGCTAGGAATCGCACATTGAAAGGTGTTTGCTAACCTCGTTAATCTCAACTCATTCAACTTTTTTACTTTTGAGAGTTGCCTTTATGCGGAGGGCAGCATGCTTAACTTGACTGAGATGAGTTTCTGACAAAAAATGACTTCTATGACAACAACACTGTTTCTGGATTGTTGTATTGTTAGAACTAGTATTTTGATATATTAAATTCTTATTTTAGGTGACAGCTAGTGAAGGAATCAGATGTATTGACTTGAGTCAGCAGAAGGAAAAATTAGCTGTAGTGGATGATAGCAGTTTATGTCAAATTTTCAATGCCAGAACAGGAGAATTAATTTTTCAGGAAGTCAATGCCAACAGTGTATCTTTCAATAACCTCTATGAAGATATGTTAGCATTTAGCGGGAACAATAGTCTGTCAATAAAAGTCAAGGATTTTCCGTCACATGTCCAAAAGTTGAGCGGGTTTGTGGTGGGACTGACAGGTTCAAAAGTGTTTTGCTTGAATGGATCCAATATGAATACTCTGGAAGTGCCACTCAGTAGCCCCATGTACCAATATATTGACAAGAAAATGTACCACGAGGCTTACAGAGTTGCTTGTCTCGGAATAACTGAAAGTGATTGGGAGGAGCTTGCTCATTCGGCATTGGAACATATGGAGTTCGAAGTAGCCAGACTTGCTTTCATCAAATTGCAAGATTTTCCCTATTTGGAATTAATTCAAGAACTACAGGTGTTACAACATAAAGGTCAGTTTACTTTCACTAAAAAAATTATGTGTTTTGGTATCCTCTTCGTTTCAAAGCATCACAATTTAATAAGTATTTTGTTAAAAAATATTACTGCAGTTTTATCCCAATACCAAACCGTTATTTTAACTCCAGTAATATTCATTACTACACCAAAGGTTCCAATCAATGCATCACAAGATATTTTGTTCATTTAACACCACGCATCACTTGATGAATCCTTTACATATAAATCTAGGTGCCAAGAACAATTACTATTGCACGGTTTGTGAGAAGTTAACAGAAAAGTATCACTGTTACTATCTTCATTGCACAAGTCAATTCAATGCAGAGTGCAACAGACTGTTGGTTGACATTGGAAGTCACAGCATTCTAGAAATGGCCTCTGACTTTATGCCTCCAACTGTCAACTACGAACTGCCTTATTAAGTACTATTCCCGAGTAGAGAGGACTGGATCCTCTGGGAGAAGGAAATATTAAGAGCAGATAGTTGTTGGTTCACAGATGGATCAAAAACACCTTCCGGTTCTGGTGCAGGTGTTTTTAGTCGCAGACCCAGGACAGAGTTATCTACCTGCCTAGAAACTTATGCGACTGTATTTCAAGCGGAAATTTACGCTATTGAATTGTGTGCGGAGAGATTGGATAAATCCAACCTCACTCACAAGTCAATAAAAATATTCTCGGACAGTCAATCGGCATTGGAAGCTTCTGGCTCCTACCGAGCAACGTCTAAATTGGTAGCAAACTGTCAAAAACGACTCTCCTCGATAGGAAGACTTAACAGATTGGCTCTGGTCTGGATTCCTGTCCATACTGGTCTGGAAGGCAATGAAGCTGCTGACTCTCTTGCAAAGGAGGGTTGTGCAAGCGGCTTCATCGGACCAGAACCTGTCATTGGCATCGCTTTAGGCTTCGCCAAACAAAAACTGAACACATAAATGGAAAGAAGATTTATGGACTTCTGGCAGAATCTTCCAGGAATGACTCACTCCAAGGCGTTTATTCACCCTTCGAAGCTTGATACCAAACAGTTGTTGGACTACAGTAGGGATGAACTACGACGTCTAACAGGCCTTCTTGAAGGTCACTGTCATTTGAATCATCATATGCAGAGACTCAGACTGTCGGAAGACAGTGTGTGTCGCCTCTATTTGGAAAATGATGAAACAGCAGAGCATATACTTTGTGCCTGCCCCGCTGGGGACCGAATCAGGTTCTTAGAGTTCGGCAGATCCATACTCTCACCATCTGACCTGAAAGACCACTCATCATACAAACTAATCGGCTTCGTTAAGAAGCTGGGTTTATTTGGCCGAGTGTGAATAGGTGTGAGCCACAATAAACCCTTGTGGGTTGCGGTGGAGGTTCGAATAGACCCACTCACTTTAGACCTACCTACCTACCTACTATCTTCATTCGGGTTTGAAGGCTGTCGTAGTTTGGAACTGCATCCTAACGTTTCACAAGCACGGGTGGCTGACTTCTTCAGAGGTTTATTCATCTTGATGATTCACCGATGACTGGTGATTTCTAGTTCATAGGTTGTATTTGTGTTGACTCGGGTTAGCCGATTGTTATTGGTCGCTGTATTAATACTTGACTTATTAATGAGTGACCTATCGTCTATATGAGTCATAACATTGCATTGCGCTGTTGCCACGGCCTTCAAACCCGAATGAAGATAATAACACTGAAAATCTCGGTCCGAAAGCCTTAAACCAATTTATCAGAGAAGTGTCAACTATCAATAAATCTTTTGAAAATTTCAATTTTTCACTTAAAACCCCCTTGTGACTAATACAGGCCAAAATTATTCATAAACTAGTGAAAAATTTATTGGAACTTATTTTTTACCATTGTAGAATACTGATGTATAACTTTTGTAAAACCCGGGATTTATAAAACAACTTTTTCACAGAAACAAAAGTAACAATAGACGTTTCAATTAAATAATGAAAGAAAAATGAAATCACATATTAGAAAATCTGTGTCTGAAAAAAACCGATTGAAATCTGTTTTTACATTAACCAGCTGTCGCACCTCTACGAACGACAACCCTCAGAACTCGAAACATGTGCGAGCTAAGGACTATCGAGGTCTTACCTTTTAACGTGTGATTCCTAATACGGGTTGGACGATAGCAAGTGAAAATACAATGCAGCTTGAAATGAAATTTCTTACAAACATATGGTCTAGGAATGGGCCAGTGTTTGAAAAAAAATATCATGTGCAGTTGATTTTTCAGAAGATATGTACGACATTTTCACTTCTATTGCCAAAGACCAATTGTCTGAAATTGTTGGTATATTTCAAAGCTTTCGTTCAAATGTTAAGTTTACCTTAGAAAAAGTAAATGAGAAAAAAATAGTTAAATTTCACTTCGACTGAAATTATGAATGTAACTAACTAAAGAGAACAAAAAGGGCTGTTAGGCCGTGGTCAAATGCAACCTGAAGTACCAAACGTTTCTTCTGCTACTGCTGTGAGCATCATCAGTGGTAATTGCGTGTGTTGACTTTGAGATACAACTTTCGTCCTCACAGTCAATGCACATACCATTGATAATTTCTAACGCAGGGGCAGACCAAACGTTTGGTAATTCATGTTCCATTCGATCACAACCTACCAGCCCAGATTTTGATGTATTTAATCATGACTCCGACCGTGATATATCAGACTTACTAAGATCTTCCTAAAATAATGCAATCAAATATCACAAGGTATATAAACCATAAAGAAATATTTTTTATATATTATGGGTTTTTATGATTTCAAGAATGGACAGGAAAAAATCTCTAGCAGATGAACAATTGTATGGGATGGAACCATTATCAAGTATTAAAATCTTACAATGAAGAGTTATTGGTATATAAAATGACCAATTTCTAATAGAATCAGTACATACATACATAGAATCTTTGCGAAGAATATGTTGACATAGAGGGATGGCGTGAGATGATAATGATATGAACTCTGTTGAAACTTTAGATAAAAGAATCTCAAGTTTGGAACAGATCACTACAAAGACAGAGATGAATAGAGTCAATCAATATTTACAGTTCAAAACAAAGCCAAGCAGTGACATACGAAAGAAATACAAATGAAAATGTTTTTTTTATTACTATTATGTGAAAAAAATTAATAAATAATTATTTTTTTCAGACCCAAATTCATTTAATTCCTTCACAATATCAATCTATTTACAATATATTCAGTTATAGGTGTTATGTTTAAAGTCAAAAAGGAGAAGAACAGCACCCTAGAAAAGGAGTAACGTCTTTTTCTAAGTGCTGTTCTGTCTAACCTCTTCTTAAAAAAATTGCCTATCGTTGACAGCTAATAAAATATTTTACCCCAAAAACAACTTTAGTGGTAAAATATTTGTTTGGCTATCAACGATAGGTTATTTTTTCAAGATGGTACGTTTCAATCCAAAAGTCTGCAAACAATGAAGTTCTGCTATATATGTGCTGAGGTTTCATGAAATCAGGCATTCAAAAAAATAACTACACGACTTAAAAAAACATAAAAAGCAAGACTCTCATGAGGTAGCGTTTTTGGACATCTTCTCTTGCAAGCATGAGAAAGCAAGAAATGTCTCAATTTTCTTTTTACTCACTTTCAAATCCTTTTCCCCATAGCCTATTTGTTCATCATTTTCCCTATAAAAATTAAAGAGACGTTAGAATGAAATAAATGCATTTAGTCACAAAGCAGGAATTTAAAATGAAAAATTGGTTAAAATAACACTTCCAAAAATATACAATATATTTTTATTAAAATTTACAACTCAAATAAATATTATAAACATTGGAAAACAAAATCTATACAATATCTATATAAAATGCATAGTGACAGAAGTTCAACTGTTTCTTTACTGTGAGTATTTTATTGTCAGATTTGACTGTTGCAAGTAACACTTAAAAATAAATGGTCCTATATGATAAAATGAAAATTCAAAGTATTCATGAATAATATAAGACTTGAGAGGACAGTCGTTGTAATAACAAAAAAATTAAATATTCTATTGAAAAATTATTAACACCCAGTTTTGCTTGCTCTTCAACAGCTTTCATTTTAAAGAAGAAAATATTTCAATTTTAAGAACTGAAAAAATAAGTATTAGCAGAACAAGAGATCCAATATAGAAGAAAATTTATTAGTGACATCAAATACAAATAAGCATCTATATATTATTCTGGACATTGTTAAGACTGTTTTTATATATTTTTATTTTGAAAACACTAAATGTGAAATAACAATATTTAGAACTTTCTATTGGCAAATTATTTGCAAAACTAGCAATTTTAGTAGAATATAAAAAATATTAAAATAGTATAAAAATTATTCTAACAATAAAATACGTTCAAATAATATATAAATACAAGAAGCTACAAAGCTAGAAATAGAAATGTGTTCCTGAGAATATTGTCCCATAACACAGAACAAATTAAATCAAAATGTCCTGACTAATAATACCCCACTTTTCGAAAATACATGTAATTGTGATAGTTGAAAATATTTCTTCTATTTTCAGAGAATTATTCGAAGGATATAATGCTAGCAGATATTTTTGCACATGAAGGCAAACTTAAAGAAGCTGCCAAACTATACCAAAAGTCCAGTCAAGAATTCAAAGCACTGACAATGTACACTGATCTTAGAATGTTTGACGAGGCACAGGATTATCTAGGCTCAAGTGACAACAGCGAGTTGATTCGTAAAAAAGCTGATTGGGCAAGAAATATCAATGAACACAAGGCCGCAGCTGATATGTATCTTTCTATAGGTGACATCCAAACAGCAATAGATATTTATGCCGAGAATGGTTGGACTGATCAACTAATAGATGTGAGCAGAAAATTGGACAAGTCAGATAAACCATTTCTTCTGACTATAGCTCAGCATTTGAAACAATTGAATCAGTCTTCAGTAGCAGCAGAAATATATAGAAGACTTGGAGATAATGCGGCAGTTCTTCAACTTTACGTAGAAGGTAAAGAATGGTCGCAAGCATTTTCACTTGTTCAAAGTCAACCACAATATAATGCAATCGTATATGTGCCATACGCACAATGGTTGGCTGAAAGTGACAAATTTGTTCAGGCTCAAAAAGCCTTTCACAAAGCGGGAAAATTAGAAGAAGCTTTCAAAGTATTTGTTCAGCTGACAGATAATGCTGTGAGTGAATGTAGGTTTCAAGATGCTGGATACTATTATTGGATAACATCCAGGCAATATCTAGAACTATCTAGAGAAAACAACAATAAAACAGAGTATTACCTGAAACAATTTCATTTTAATGAGAAGTTGGCAGAGATATATTATGCATACAATACTATTCACAAGTACTTGGAGGAACCATTTACTTCTTACATGCCTGAAGCCCTTTTTAACATTTCAAGATTTTTGATGTCAGAAACTAACAAGCATGCAAAGGGTATTTCAAATTTTGCCATACTGTACACATTAGCCAAACAAGCAAGAAAGCTAGGCGCTAACAAACTTGCCAAGCAACTTCTAGACAAAATTCAAGGATTGAGGATTCCACAAAAGTTTCAAGAACAAGTCGAAATAGCCACCATATCTTCAAGAGCCAAACCCTTTAGCGATCCTGAAGAATTACTACCAATGTGCTACAGATGTTCCACTTACAATCCCTTGACTGCAAATTGTAATAACTGCACAAATTGTGGAGAGAAGTTTGTGTATTCCTTTGTGAGTTTTGAACTACTACCTTTGGTCGAATTCCAATTAGAGGAAGGAATAAGTGATGATGAAGCACTGAGATTATTAGAGACTCCACTTAAAGAGAAAACAGAAGATGTGTGGAAGGAGAACATTTCTGAAAACCAGCAAACTTTGCAACTGGATAATTCTGAAGAGAACCATGATCCTTTTGCAACCAAGATTGCAAAGCAAAATGAATTTCATCCTGTTGTGGTAGGCCGAAAGATACTGCAGTCTCTTGATAAGACTAGTGTTCTGATATGCAGATGGCCTTCACCTCTGAAATGCCAATATTTTCGTAACTTGTTACCAGCTTTGCATATTACAATGTGCGAATCTTGCTTTAAATGTTTTCATGTAGACGATTTTGAACTGCAGATGCTCCAGAATGGACATTGTCCATTTTGCCGTTGGTCAAATGAAGGTGTCGGGTCAGATTCTGCTGACGAATTTCTAACTTGATTTAATTTTATGTGATCTCAGATTGTTTAAGCTTTAATAAACTCATTGCTGTAGTTAACTGTTTCATCTTTTGATTAGTTTCTAAATGAATTAAGAAAAACACAATAATACCACTTGAAAAAGTCAATAATGCAGATGTAAGTATATGAGGTTTCAGAAAGGTCAAGTAACGTGAAAAACAATTTCTTATTCTTGAATATAGCGTCTTACTTGATGTGTCAGGTTTATTTCTCTACCAATGAATTTTTCAGGTTGCATATAAACTATATCTTAATTTTCAGCGTGATTTGGAGTCCTGGTTTGATAAAAAAAAGAAAGTTGGCTTGATAGAACTAAGAAACTGCCAGAGGCACACATATTTTCGAAATATTAGGTCTCATTGTATCACACTCAAAATATCTATAAGGTCAAATGCGCTCCAGACTAACAACTGCCGGTGCTTATAACTTTATATTTTCTTCAAGGTAAATAAAATATAACATCAGAAAAATTACTAGAAAATCTACACAAGTGTAGGTGACCACTGAGCATTGCACTTCTATAGATTCTATTTCCATTATTCCTTATGTAACTATGTGTCTGTGTGTGTTAGTTATGAAATCAGGTGTGTTAATTGGTTTCCAACGCACAGACAGATATTTGGAAGTCTCTCCAAGAATTTCAATCATATAAAAAATGTCTTCAAAAGGAATGGGTATAATAGTGAAGTCAAATCTGAGCAAGCAATGCGTTTCAGGAAAGAGAATTGCCAAGACAACTCCATATAGGTCTGTCAATGAAATAGGCTTCTTGCCCCATGTTTGAAATGTTATTGACCGGATTGGAAGAATTCTGAAGAAAAAACAATAGTAAGTTAATGAAACCCATCAGAGATAATCTAAGGTCAGCTAAGGACCCCAGAGAGGCTTTAACAATACTAAGGGTGTTAACATGTCTCTTAAAGCTGTGGATCGGTCTTCTTTCGAAGCACAAATAGAAGTGTAAGTACCCGACTCTCTGAACCCAGGAGAAATTGTTGCCTAGGACATTCCCACAAATCAGCTGTGGCAGAACATGCACTCAGAGAAGTTACCTGCATTATTGCGATTGGAAAGATGCAAGTGAGTACACTCTGGTTGGATGGAAGAGCAATATCTGCCTTGATTTATCATGTGCAGATGTTGAATTCTGCCATATGTTAGGTTAGGTTATTATCTCTTGTACTGAGTAACCTTTCAATAAAAGCATTTATTATTATTACTACTTAAAGCTACAATTCAAGACTATATAAGAGGCCAACAGAAATTAAGAAACACAGACAATTTCAAGTGAGGGGAAAAGGAAATTAACATAAAATAAATCTGGTTGCCTGTGATAAACGATACAACTATAATTCCATTTAATGTAACTAATGGGAACGAAGTCATGCCTGCTACAGATAGAATTAAACTGAAAACCTAACCTTTGAATGCTATAGTATGTGGTGCGAGAACAACTAGAGCACACATAAAAACCTGTATTTCCAAAAAATAGCATATGCACTGTAACCTTAAATATAACGCAGCCCTACGAGCGCATATTACCTTCGGTACTCCCAGGGCCTTATATAGGGAGAGGCAAACGCCTCCTTCCCTAGAGGATGGATGAAAACCAAAAAAGATTTTTGTGTAAATTGAAAAATATTCTGAAAGATGACATTTATTATCATGTAGGCCTTGATTTGAGATGTATGTCGGCGGCAAATATCCGTTCATCTGTTATTGACTGCGCCCATTGACTATTCATAATAATTTGAATAATAATAAATACAGATGGGCCCACGGAAATAACTCATATATGTTATAACAACTATCCCGACAATAGTACTTATGATATATTAATTCAGAACTAAACCTGAAATAGAAACCTGATGAATTCCTAAGATGTGAGAAAAAACATGAACATCATTGTTTTCAAAATTGCCATTTCTATGAAAAATAATTTCTCACCTGTTTTTAAAGAGAAATCTAAAATATTTTTGAGTTCAATCCAATCAACTTCTTGATCTTCACCAGCTAACTTCAAGAAAGCTTCATAAATTTTGTCTGTCTCCATTTGTTCCTCTGTGGTGGGTTCTTGTGTAACCTAAGACAGTTTTGTGCTTATGAGGTAGTCAGAATAACTACTACAAATGAATAAGTTGTTGCAACATAAAATTGGATTCTTAACCTTTTGTATCTTGGAAAATTAGATGTCAATGAAAAGTTTCTTCATCAATAAAATGGTTTGATTTGAAAATTAAATTTCCTATTTTGAATGTTTTTACAGTGACAATGATAAAAGTTCATTTATGAATTATTACAACAAAAATTTTGGAATTTGAAATGGTTATTGATGAAATAAAGTAAGTACAACTCTCGACAAAATGAACTTTTGATAACACAAATATGTATCTGTAACATTTAATACTTTTTGATAAAAAATCTAAAAACTAGTATTCTATTTATGTGAAATTCTGAGTTCCTAATTATTTCTTTTTTAGGTAAACCAACATGAATATTGAGGGAAAATGGTGAAAATATGAGAAAAAGTGAAAAATTTTCAAATGTATTTAAATATTCATACACTAGATTTACATTTAAATTGTTTTATTTTTTCTGCCAGTTAAATCGAGAGGAAACAAACATGTTTGTATTAATTTACAAAATAATCAGTAATTTATATCATCCTTTTTGCCCATGATATTCAATCCACCCAATCTAGAAGTTGGCAAAGCTTAAAGCATCACTTAGTCTTACTTTATGAAAGTAGGTCCAAATTGTGTAGGCGTTTTTGACCCTCCACTGCGAAGGTTTATTGTGACCAACTTGAACTCGACCAAATAAATCCAGCTTGTTATCAAAGCCAATTACTTTATTCAGTGAGAGATTTTTCAGGTCGGCAGGCAAGAATTGGACTCTGCAAAAAACCTGATCCAAGAAAAATAATCTCCACTCCACAGGTGACACACTATGGTCAGTCTATGACTTCCTTCGTCAGATAGGTAAGGAACACGAATGTGTGCCTTGGCAAGTAGGTCTTCTGTGACGCACCTCTCTGATGGCTGTAGGGTAATCTCCAATCCAGAGACACTATCCTGATACGCTCAGGTCACCTGTATCCATCCAGAACAGAATGTGAAGTTTTGGCACCGTACTATGGATCCTCTTCTGGAATATCCTCTATGGCAGAAATTGGCGTACTGAAGAGATTCCACTTGATTAGTCGATACGGAGGTGGTTGGATTTTCAAGTTTAAGATTCCCACCTTGATGATCCCAACATTTTCAGAGAATTAGGACATCATCCTGACAATATATCAGATTCAGCCATCCAGGGTTTTTTGCCTCTGGTTGAATCGTCATTTGAGCTTAAATGTTTGCTGACTTGCTCAGGTGGAGATTGGTTACAAGACAGATTTATAAGATATCTGGCTGCACCAACTATCCTCCTGAAAAGTTCTCGCTTTTGATCCGATGTTACAGTTGAGGTCGTTTACTCGATTTCCATCTCCTTGTAGACTCAGTGTCGGATTCTTTGGTTTCTTCATGGTCCAAAAAGTTCCATAAGTAGCTAGATAAAAAAGATTTATCATGGGATACCTCCGTATTCACATGACAAGGCTTTATATGATGAAAGGGTGCCTGGTATTTCGAAGATTCTGTTAGTGACACTAAGTGGGCTCGGAGTCATAAATTCTTCAGGTACGGATATACACACCTGAGAATTACACATCATTTAGGATTAGGAGGACTATTACCTTCACGGGCGACACCTCACCCGGCAGAGATATTCTATTTCATTATATTAAGAAAGTTGTCCCAATGCAAATAGAGTTCAACCATTACTTTTTCATTACTAGACCTGCCTAATTTATTTTAGTGCTGCCATCTATGAAATAAATTACTAAACAAAGAAATAGGTTATATTACAGTTGCAAGGCGATTCTGATAGGTTGTTTGAAAACTATTTTTGTCTTTTCAATTTCAGAATGAAAATATTTTTTTAATGATGAAAATTTTTCAATTTCTTTCAGAATGAAAATATTTTTTATATGATACAATTATTTGGTGTATAGAAATGAATTTGCTTTTGTTTATTAATTTTATGAAATTCGTGTTTATGAATATTGTAAGAACAACAGGATCTAACAGCATGGTAAGGACACTGAGTTTATTTATTATCTTTTTTTATTAATTTTTATTATGGGTTTTTATGATTTCAAGAATGGACAGGAAAAAATCTCTAGCAGATGAACAATTGTATGGGATGGAACCATTATCAAGTATTAAAATCTTACAATGAAGAGTTATTGGTATATAAAATGACCAATTTCTAATAGAATCAGTACATACATACATAGAATCTTTGCGAAGAATATGTTGACATAGAGGGATGGCGTGAGATGATAATGATATGAACTCTGTTGAAACTTTAGATAAAAGAATCTCAAGTTTGGAACAGATCACTACAAAGACAGAGATGAATAGAGTCAATCAATATTTACAGTTCAAAACAAAGCCAAGCAGTGACATACGAAAGAAATACAAATGAAAATGTTTTTTTTATTACTATTATGTGAAAAAAATTAATAAATAATTATTTTTTTCAGACCCAAATTCATTTAATTCCTTCACAATATCAATCTATTTACAATATATTCAGTTATAGGTGTTATGTTTAAAGTCAAAAAGGAGAAGAACAGCACCCTAGAAAAGGAGTAACGTCTTTTTCTAAGTGCTGTTCTGTCTAACCTCTTCTTAAAAAAATTGCCTATCGTTGACAGCTAATAAAATATTTTACCCCAAAAACAACTTTAGTGGTAAAATATTTGTTTGGCTATCAACGATAGGTTATTTTTTCAAGATGGTACGTTTCAATCCAAAAGTCTGCAAACAATGAAGTTCTGCTATATATGTGCTGAGGTTTCATGAAATCAGGCATTCAAAAAAATAACTACACGACTTAAAAAAACATAAAAAGCAAGACTCTCATGAGGTAGCGTTTTTGGACATCTTCTCTTGCAAGCATGAGAAAGCAAGAAATGTCTCAATTTTCTTTTTACTCACTTTCAAATCCTTTTCCCCATAGCCTATTTGTTCATCATTTTCCCTATAAAAATTAAAGAGACGTTAGAATGAAATAAATGCATTTAGTCACAAAGCAGGAATTTAAAATGAAAAATTGGTTAAAATAACACTTCCAAAAATATACAATATATTTTTATTAAAATTTACAACTCAAATAAATATTATAAACATTGGAAAACAAAATCTATACAATATCTATATAAAATGCATAGTGACAGAAGTTCAACTGTTTCTTTACTGTGAGTATTTTATTGTCAGATTTGACTGTTGCAAGTAACACTTAAAAATAAATGGTCCTATATGATAAAATGAAAATTCAAAGTATTCATGAATAATATAAGACTTGAGAGGACAGTCGTTGTAATAACAAAAAAATTAAATATTCTATTGAAAAATTATTAACACCCAGTTTTGCTTGCTCTTCAACAGCTTTCATTTTAAAGAAGAAAATATTTCAATTTTAAGAACTGAAAAAATAAGTATTAGCAGAACAAGAGATCCAATATAGAAGAAAATTTATTAGTGACATCAAATACAAATAAGCATCTATATATTATTCTGGACATTGTTAAGACTGTTTTTATATATTTTTATTTTGAAAACACTAAATGTGAAATAACAATATTTAGAACTTTCTATTGGCAAATTATTTGCAAAACTAGCAATTTTAGTAGATAAATATGAATAAAATTTCAAATATCAACAATTTTAAAATTTTCAATGCAATAAATGTCAATACAAATATGTACATATTTTTAGTGAAAACACTAAATTCTCTATCAACTTAAGTACTTTTTTGCTTCAAGGAAGCAACTGAATAGTTTTCAATCTCATTATAAATCATGTTTATATTTTGTTGAAGGGAGCAATATACTTACAATAAAAACTTTTTTGTGAATTGAAAATGGGGCACGATAATTATTATTTTCAAACTTCAATGCAACACACATTCATGTGTTCAGTTCAACATCAATAATTTCAAATTCAATTCAAATGATTCTTTCCAAAAGCAATTAGAAAATCTTCCAAATTTCATATTGACAAATGGAATTGAATATATTTGTATAGACATGTTACTGACAATTTTATGGACCTTTCAGTGAGTTATTTGTTCATCATTTTTATATTTTTAAGATATTCGAAAGTTACTTTATGAAGTATTCGCATATTAAATATTAATTCTTATGTAATGAAATATATAAAGTGGCTCTTTCGTGATGTATATTCATGTAGTACTCTAGAAAACTAGAGACAACTAAAAGGCTATGAAATATTTAGATACAGACTGCGCTGCCTATATATTATACGAAACTACCAACAATTTTTTAGAGAGCACTTTTTCATGTTTTGTTGGTTGTTCAGTTTAATTTTTCACTTGATACTATATTCATTTGAAATTTTTGAATATACTTGATTATACATCTAACCTTATATACATACGATCAAATATTCGAGATATAAATATTCTTTAACAATACTGTAACTCCTTCTTGTGCAGAGAAAAGCTTAAAAAAACCATGCGACAATTATTTGAAAAGCTTATTGAAAAAATTGGTAATACCCTTGATGGGATCATTTGTATCAGAGGAACGTCTTGGAGGTGGATTATTAGGATACGGGTATCCTGGATACTGATTAGGAGGTGGATAGTAACCACCTGGATTCTGATACTGCGGGTATCCAGGGTATCCTGAATATCCACCTGGAGCATGGGGGTAAGAAGGGTAACTGGGTTGTGGACTTTGAGGATATCCTGGACTCTGAGGGTAACCGCCAGAACCCTGGGAGTAACCCCCAGGACTTTGTGGATAACCTCCAACATTATGGGGGTAAGGATTGGAAGGGTATGGGCTGTGAGGTTGAGGAAATGAGGGAGCACTGGGCTCAGACTCTTCCTCTTCTTCGTCAACCTCATTGCCATGGATATTTCTTATACTATCATTATGATCATAACCGTACTCCATAACATTCTCGTTTTCGGTGAAGACTCTGAGCAGAAATTCTCCTTCTTCGTTGGGATCGAATGTGGAAGGAACTATGCAGTATGTTCCAGGAGGTAGCTTGAAACGACAGCTAACCTCTCTTAGGTTAATGAAAGACGGCGAACGTGCCACGGAAGCGTTGTATTTGAAGAAATTAAGGTCAAGAGGTTTGGGTACCCTATCTGGATAAGGCAACTGAAAAGTATGAACAAGAATTATTTCATGGTATGGTAACAACAGATTCATAATAATAAATTTATACATTTCATTAAACATGACATGTTTATGAGGAAAACAATGTAACAAAAAAAATCTAAGAATTTGAATCTATTCCAAAATATGTTGTTCAAGTGCAATTCAGTGCAATTCAACTTACTAATATTTTTACCCAATCATACTAGAGATACAAATAAAGGTGTTTCATCAGATTCCATGTATGGTCATGAATATTGTAATATTTTGTATGAACACATATTTTTATCTAATGATTACAATAGAAAACTACAAGACTTAGGTTAGGTAAGGTCAAAAGTGAGTAGGTCTATTCGATATTCCATCGCAACGTGCAAGGGTTTATTGTGGCTCACACCTATTCACACTCGACCAAATAAGTCCAACTTCTTAACGAAGTTAATTAGAGTGTATGGTGAGAGGTCTTTCAGGTCAGATGATAAGAGTACGGCTCTGCCAAACTCTGAAAACCTGATTCTGTCCCCAGCGGGGCAGTTACGAAGTAAGTGCTCTGCTGTTTCATCATTTTCCAAACTGAGACGACACTCACTGTCTTCCGACAATCCGACTCTCTGCATATGATGATTCAGATGACAGTGACCTGTGAGAGGTCCTTTTAGACATCGCAGTTCATCCCTATTGTAGTCCAACAACTGTTTGGTATCAAGCTTTTAAGGGTGAATAAACGCCATGCAGTGAGCAATCCTGGAAGATTCTGCCAGAAGTCCATAAATCTTCTGGCCATCGATGTGTTTAATGCTTGTTTGGCAAAGCCTAAAGTGATGCTACTGACAGGTTCTGGTCTGATAAGGCTGCTTGCAGCCCCCTTCTTTGCAAGGGAGTCAGCAGCTTCATGTCTAGGAATCCAGGCCAGAGACAATCTGTTTCAAGTTTTCCTATCGAGTAGAATCGTTTTTGGCAATTTGCTACCAGTTAAGAAGTTGTTTGGTAAGAGCAGAGAGCTTCCAACGCCGCTTGACTGTCCGAGAATATTTTTATTGACTTGTGTATGAGGTTGGATCCTTCCAATCTCCCAGCACACAATTCAATTACATAAAATTCCGCTTGAAATACAGTCGCGTAGGTTTCTAGGCAGGCTGACATATCTGTCCTCGGTCTGCGACTGAAAACACATGGATCTAGAAGGACCTCAATGGCCGCTGACGGTGTGGTACTGATGGCCAGACAAGCCTGTCTCTGTAAGCCAGAGAGCTTCGCCTGAGCCATTTTCTTTAAAGCCATCACTCAACAGGCAATTGCTCCATTAAGCCCCATTGGTCTGACAATCATCACATAAATCCAATGGATTTTTTTGGAACCTAAACCCTAAGTTTCACCACAAATCCTTCGACATCTTCATAAGAATAGTCTGTCTTTGTGTAAAACTTTTTCCAAGTGAGCGTTCCAGGTGATTTTTTTATCAGGGACAATGCCAAGATATTTCACCTCCGTTCGAAATGGAATGAACTCACCATTGAGGAAAAGTGGCGTTAAATCGTCCAATTTTCTCCACCTGGTGAAGGGAATTATCATAGTTTTGCTGGGGTTGACAGACATCTGCTTCCTCAAGCACCAACTATGAAAAGCGTCCACCGTGCTTTGGAGGATATTACAAGCTACCCTTCCCGATGTGGACCTTGCCGAGACGACAAGGTCATCTGCATAAGCTTGCAGATATACTTTTTTTCTGTCAAGGGCATCAAGCAGATCATCCACCAGGAGCGGCCACAGAAGGGGAGATAGTACCCCACATTGAGGGCAGCCTCTGGTGACCCTGAACCTGATAGCCTCGCCACGAAGAGTCGTAGTTGCAGAACTGCTTACCAGCATGACATAGATCCAGCCAGTTATGGTCGATTCTATGCCTTTTCTAGCCAGGGATGGTCCTATAGATATAGGTAGTGCATTGTCAAATGCTACTTCAATATTGAGAAATACAGCAACCGCAATCTCCTTGTTGACAAGGAATTGGGAAATGTTCTCTACAAGGTTATTTGATGCTAAATCTGTCGATTTTCCGCTTTGATATGCATACTGGTGGTTATTCAGTGGGGCTGCATATAATTCCACCCTCCTGATTTGTCCGTCCAGTATCCTCTCAAGTTCTTTCAACAGGAAGGACGTAAGTCTGATTTAGGATGTGGCTCTTTCCGACCCACTTTTGCTGCCAACTAACTGGGCGGTATATATAGCCACGCCAGACTAGCTCTATACAATTTCATAAGAATAGGTAAAATTATTCACACTCCATTTTGAAGAAGAGCTGGAAATATACCATCCTCTCCAGGAGATTTGAAGGGCTGAACTGACTTGATAGCCCATTCAACTGCCAGTGCTGTGATAACCTTCTTGACGACCTCTCAATCGTTCTTTTTTGGGCGTTTAGCGTCTCCAAAGATGGAAGGTCTGTTGTTATCAAGAGTCAGATTTCCAGGAAAGTGGTTTTTTATCAAAAGCTCTAACGTTTTATTACTAGAGGTCGTGAATGTTCCATCAGGTCGTTTAAGCGACCCAATTTCAGCAGTCGGCTCTCTAGAGAGAATCTTGTGAATTCTTGTGCTGCCAGGTAAATCAAAGATAGTCTCACAGAAATTCCTCCAAGACTCCCGTTTCGCCTTTCTAATTTCCTTGTTCTATGTCGTTATGAGTAGTTTTATAAAGTTCCCTTTTCAAGGCTTTTGTTCCACCAAGAAGAGTTATGGTTATCTCTTTTAATCCTTAGTGGACAGTTCTCATGATAGGATGAGATCACTGTTTCGCGAAGTTGCTCCGCTAGTATATCCATATCATAACAAATGTGAATAGTAATGAATCCGTCCTCTGAGTACAATTGGAGGGGGTTTTTATAACCACTCCAATCAATAGATTTTGAGTCACAATATTCCACTACTGGTCGTAGACCTGTTTCAATATTGAAAAGAATATATCTATGGTCTGAACAAGAAGATTCAGTAGATACAGTCCAGTGGTGTATCTTGTTGCTCAGAAAATGTGAGCTGATGGTTAAGTCTAATACCTCTTGCCTATTACTAGTGACAAAAGTTGGTTGCAAGCCCTCATTAATTACAGACACTACAACATTTAATAATCATTGAAACATAATGAAAATCTGTACTCATTCAAAATATAAAAAGTAAAAAGGGATATTTTCACTGATCAATATTCAACTATTCTACAAATCAAATGCCATAAAAGCCACCAAATTTATAATCTCGCCAAGTATACATCATTTGTAGTTATAGAATGCTATAGAAACAACTTTAAATCTTCATTTAAGAAAATAACGATTATTATATACGAGGTATGTTCAGAAAATACCAGAAAATATTTATTAGTCTATCATAACGTTGTCGCCTTCAAAATGGTTACCATTAGGTATTGAAAACAAAATATATTTCGTTTGCTTGGAGAAATTGTCCATTTAATAGATTAAATACTTATGTTGTCTTAAAAGACGACTTAATTATTGTCTCAATATTATAAAGTTCTCATTCGAGTTCATATGAAATATTGAAAACTGCTGTTTCCAAATAAAACATACAACACAGGAATTGAAAAAAAATGCATTTAATGGAATTCAATAAATTGAACAATTATGACACACTGTAGTAAAATTTATATTTTCAAAGCCTTATGAACTGTTTACTCACATGGTAAATGGCAAATCCTACTGTGAGCAGATCTACACCAGCTTTACGAATTAGTCTTCTATTTTTCTGCATAAGAGCCACAATCATGGTACAATTTCCATCATCATCACCTTCATCTACTTCAGTTAAAGTTATTCGATATTGTGGATTGTGCCAAAAAGATTCTAAAATAAGAAAAATCAGACAATATAAAAACTTGTGTCGTCACAAAAAGGGATTTGGACCATCAGTTAAGTGGTATTTTATATTCTTACCTAAAAAGTTTCTGCACCCACCAGCTGTGACACCTCGTACCCATTCACCTTCAAAAACTGACATTTCCCATTTTTTCTTATGCCCTTCTCTTAGTTCCTCATCAGACAGTGAATCTGGGTTCAAGTTGCAAATCTCTAATCTGCTGAAGTGCTTCTGGAAGTCTTTAAATGACATCCAAAATTCACCATCATTGTCGAATGTAAGACCCAACTCTTCTTTTTCAGATTCAGATATGAATCTCCATTCTGGAGCACTAAAAGTATGAACTGTTAAGACAGTATTCGAAAAAGTGAAATATGAATTAAAAGTTTTAGTGCATTTGTTTTTTCAAATTTAGAAAAGACCATCAACAGAGAAAGTTAATTTCTACGTAGAAAACAATAAGCACAATATTATTTAAGTGTTGTCGTTCATTTGTTTTAAATATTCCTATACATGATGGATATGGTGGGAGACCAAGGACCTTGGTCCAAAGAATAACTCCCATTATTATTTTTATAATTACCAAAATTTATTTATGTTTGTGCATATCCTAACGGGCATAAGCCAATCTTTGGATAGCTAAGTAAGAAAATTAATATATTATAGTAGTAACTAATTCCTCGGCTTTCATTTTTTTGAAAGTTGGTAAATTTTGCTGGTGGGGTTGAGAAAATTTGTATTCCCTTTCCCCCTGTTTTTTTTTTTTTTCGCACGGACCTGTTTGACAGATTTCATCCGCAATGCTTATGCTTAAGAATCCTTAGAAATTCATAAGCATGAGCATATGGATGAATTCTTAGAAACTCATAAGCATTGCGGATGTAATCTGCTAAATGATCAAATCAATCTAGTTTACTCACTAGTTTTCAAATTAGCCTTGTCACAGGTAAACAAATTTCAGGTATTCAATTAAGTTAAGGGCCTCTATTATCAAATTCAGTAGATATATAAGGGCTAACATTATGATGAAGAAAAGAGAATTGAAACTTTCTATGTTTTTTACCACTTTTTTATTTGTAACTAACATTACTGCAGTTTCGTCCTATAAGGACATTTTCAAACTCATACATTAGTTACAAATAAAAGAGATAAAAACATAGAAAGTTTCAATTATCTTTTCATTAAAATTTCCTACCACGTGGTAATGGCTACATCCATCAATTTATTGCTAATATTATGATTTATTTTCAGTTTATTGTAATTGTTTGAAAATGTCACAGAACGAAACTGCGGTAACATTAGTTACGAATAAAAGTGGTAAAAAAATATAGAAAGTTTCATTTCTCAGTTTTCATGCTATTAGTATCATTTTGAACATTCATTATTTTATTATTTTCACTGTTTTAAAATTCACTTGATTGAATAAGAGTACTCCATATAGTTCAGTCGACAAAAGAAAACGCATCAGTTTAAACATCCAATATTAGTCTACAAACTGACACGGATTAATGAAAACGAAACAACGTGACTACAGCTCAGAACAACCTAACCTTTTAATAAATTTCACTAATAATGAAAGCCCCATGTAACGATTTTGGGTCAATTTTATAAAATTCTTCGATAGGCAATATAAATTTTCCTGTTTGCGAAAATTGGACAGAGCCATTTAAAATTCGAGATTAAAATTTATGATTACAGTATGAAATTTAATTACTGTGAAATATGAAATACCTACATTTCATTAATTATGAAATAATGTAGTGTATAAGAGTTGGAAACATAGAAACTTTTCAATAAACAACATGTCAACTGTCAAACAGTCTGAAAATCATAGAAATGGGTGACGACTCTTGTTTATTCAGCTATCTCTCTTCTAGTTACATCCGAGCAATCATCCAAATAAAACCTCTTATTAAACGTTAATTGTTTAATCTCATTTTGGTATAAAAGAAAGGATGCTATGTAAAAGTAAGTAAGTCGACTGATACCAAACCATGGTATTAACCTTATTCATGGCACATTTATTGGTTTTTCAGTGTCCTCGAATCAAAAATCTTTTTGAAGCTAATGGAATACGAAAAGCTAATTATTAAATTTGTTACTGTGTTTGAATAAAAATTCTGCTAGAGATTTAGCTAACTTGCCAGTTACCATTCTTATTATACATTTTGCGTGCATATTATGAAAAAAATATATGAATATTAAATGAAAATAACTGGATAATATTTCGGGAACCACCACGGTTCTCTTTCTTGAATCGTTATAGAAAACAGTACACAACTATATATGTCAAATTCAAGATCTTTTGGAAAGAAAGGTTTTGGCTTTCTACTTCCTCATTTTATACAAAAAAATATGGGAATCTTCCATAAAAAGGAAGGAAAGCAATCAATTTCAAAAAATTAACTTTTTCAGACACTAAACTGAATTACATGAAAGAGAAAATACTTTCGAAATAGCTACTTTCATATGAACACTGAATTACACAAAAAACATTTTTCTCTATTCAGTTTATATTCCAAACATTTTTTATTGAACTAAATCAGATATCATTCACAGGATTAATGAACAATATCATATATGAAAGAGGTAAAATTTTACTTACATGGAACACTGTCGTCCTCAATGGCGGACATCTGATTTTCCGAAATAAGACACTTTCCTGGATGATATTACAAGATGAAGCACTCCATTTATTCATGAAATCGCAACTTTATGTCAATAATGAGTCGATGACAGTGCATAATAACATTCATTCACCTATTTAAATAAATCCCAGCCATATCAAGTCAGTTTTTAATTCTAGGGGAGTGTAAATCCATGAATGCCAGGAATAATACATGGTTCTTCCCAAATAAAATGAACACAATACTATTTAGTGGTATCCGGCTGGATCACGCGGTTAATTTCATTAAAGATCATGCCATTTTTCAGTTTTGTCTGGTATCCTTCACATTCATTTTTCAAGATTTTGAATTGGACATATTTAGTCAGGTTTATTCCAGGGGTGTGAAAAACTCAAAAATGCCAGCTTTGTCATTTTTCACTTTAATCTGACATTTTTCCTGCTCAACTTCTGTATTTTCAATAAAATTTTGTTTTTATGGGTTTAAAATTTAATTAAAGATCTCTCTTTAAACTATTTACACGTTTTTCCTACCTACCCTTTATTGGAATACACAAAATGTAAGTATCTTACCCGTCACTCCATGCTCCATTCCATTCTGATTCATTTCCCCAAGGATTACGGAGCCTCAGTAAAGGAATTTTCCCTGTTACATTTGGTGTTTGAATATCCACATACTGTACCCTGGTTATGCTGTAAGCGTGTCCTCTAATGAGACCTTCGGGAGTTTGAGCTTCAGTTATATTAGGATCGGGCTGTAAAAAAATGGCATAAATTTAATCAGGCAGATGTCAGATATGAGATAAAGCATGCACGTTTTGTTTAATAGGACTTATTTGAGGAGTGCCGCTCTCAATTCCTTTGTGGAAATATTCATTTTGATAAAAATTTAAGCTTCATTTGTAGGTGTGTAGGTTTGTTTCTCAAGAAACATTGGCTATTGATAATAGGAAAATTCAACCTCAAAATGTGTATGAAAATATATGAACATGTTCAAACTTAAATTTTCAAATGTGAAAATACTATTTGTGTAATGGATATTTTTTTAAAAATTTAGAACAAATTTTAATATTCAATGTAATATTTGAAATATTCTCGTGTGATGATTATGAATGAAATAATTTTCAACAAATTGATTGATATAGCCGTTACTATGTGGTAGTAGATCATCATGAAAAATGAGAAACGAAACTTTCTATGATTCATTTGTCATTTTTGAAATACTTTTCAGCGAATTTTAAACTGCTGTATTTTTCATTTACAAAAGGTACGGTGAATTGAAGAAACAAATTGCCAATTGATAAAAGTTAATTCAAATTCAATAACCTACTTGGTTTATATAAATTTTCTGTTGGTTCTACGTGTGAAAGTTTATAAATATTCGGAAGTTTTTTCAATGTTTTAAGGAATGCGGCAATTGCAGATCTCCATATGAAAATTGAATATTTTAATAAAGAATATATGTAACTATATTATATGTTTATTAAATCTTTGCGATGAATATGATTTCATATTCTATGAAGAATTCCGATAATAGGTGACTGTTTTTTCAAAGTTCTTCAATATTTTTATTCTGACTAGGATTTTCATCAGTATAGTCGTAGAAATTTTGTGTAGTTTTCGTATATAATCCCATTACTTTCAAATTTGATTGGGGCAAATCGATAACATCCTTTTCTCGAGTTATAGAAAATATATAGGATTATTTTGAAAATTCATAATTAATTTATGAATTTGTTGCCAAAGAATCAAAGTTAGATCCACAATAAATAATGGTAGTATCGTCTGCAAATAGTTTAATTGAACCTTTAAACTCAAATCTAAAGAAATGAACTTTAAACGTTCAAGCCAGTCTCAGATATACCTACACAGTAGGTTGAATGGACTGACGCCTATCAGAAAACAACTACTTCCCTGGCTAATACCACGAAGGGCGTTGGATTATATCCGACAGGCGTCAGTGCAGAAATCTTCACAGAAAATTTCCTGTATATGCAATTGGCAATAGTTTTTAATGCATTGTCTGAAAATAAGCAAATCCAAAACAGCTAATAGTTTCCAAAAACATCAAAGAAAATTTATTAGTTCAACGATGATATCATCAAATTATAATTATTTGAATGTTTATATTTTCTTATTATCAAAAGTTTTTGATTTTTACTCAAACATTTTCATGAAGAAAAAAGAATTGAAAGTTTCTATGTTTTTTTACCACTTTTATTTGTAACTAACGTTATTGCAGTTTCGTCCTGTAAGGACATTTTCAAACTTATACATTATTACAAACTTATTATTATTAACTATATCAAATTTTAATTTCTGACTAAAAATTATTGACATAATTGTTATTATTCAAAGGGAGAAACATTACAAGGCTTACAAAAATGACGAAAATATCATACAAACCTCAATTGAACACCCCATCAAAGATGATCTCTCATAAGCTTTCACTATTATTTGAAATAGATTTGGTGGACTAGCTTCCATTTCGTACATTTCAGTAACTCCACCAGTGAAATCTTCCATAGCTTCACAGGTAGAACCACCTTTCAGAGCTTCATAGGATCCATGTAATCTATTAGGAATAACGGTCAACTTTAATATCTATCAGCAAATATATATATAAATTACATACTTAGCATAGGCTTTTTCTAGTAAGGCACTCCAAAATTCATTGTCTTCAGTAGAATGTAAAAATATCAGTTGTCCTCTGTATGTAGGTAATCTATCGTCTATTACTACATCTATCCATTTTCCATACTGCCAAAATCTAGAATAGATTATGTTGTTGGTAATAACATCAATAACAAAAGCCACAATAACTGTTGCTAAAACGATGAAACAGATCCCTACCAAATTTGAGTCACAAAATTCCAATTTTTCATGAGGTTTTTTTTTAATTCTATTCCTAATTCTCGTCAGTCGAGCCACCTAACAGATGGGTATAATAATTATTTTCAATTGTTGGTCTAGTATGTAACTCTACTTTGTCTTTTGTTTTTCAGTGTTAATCAAAAGTATAAAACCGCTTAATTTTTTTACAATGGTTTTTGTTTTTGAAAAACAGGATATTTCCTCTAAACATATAAAAGTATTATATAAATGAATGAATTTTTTGAGTTAATTGAAATATACTTGAATCCTAATATTTTGTTATAAAATATTTCAATAATAACAAATAGTGGTGGACTGTTGTCCATCATTGGAATGTACGTTAATTTTCATTTCCTCATTGTGTCTTTCGAAAAAAAACTAAGTTTGAAAAAAACAATGATGTCAAATCTTGATAATTATGTGTTACACTGGTTTTTATTCAGGGAGATTAACAGAGACTGCCAACTACAGTCTTCTGCAGTATGTTTATAGAATTTTGGATCAGAAGAAAACATGGGAGTATTACTTTTTCATTTTTCCACAGCTTTCGATAATTTGCACCTGAACTTTCTCGAAAGAAAATGGTCTACTATGGGGTTTAGAGGACATATACTGTCTCAGTTAATATCCTACTTAGAGAATAAAAAATATGCATTATAAATAATGCCACTAAAATAAATATGTACCATATAAATCTTGGGAGTCCACACAAGGATCAATACAGTTATTCATATTCCTGAACGACCTTTCAAATTATGTGGATACTGACTGTCTTTTATTATATGCAGACGATATATCGCTAATAGTATATGATGAAAAGAATCAAGAGCTACAAGTAAAATTAAATCATTTGGCAAAAAATTTGTCTGAAAGAACATATCGAAACGGCTTTTTGTTAAATTTTCTTCATCTTCATCCTCCATGAATTTCATTGTTAATCCAAAAACTAACGTGTACTATAAACTCCTCATCAAATAAGATAATTTTTCAATTGTCTACTCCCTTGCGTCGACGGTTGGGAGTAGGCAGATTATGACCCTTGCAGAGACCAGTAAAGAGACCTGGGGACTAGGCAGATTGAGACACCGACGTCAAGTCACAAAATCTGTACAGTGTGTCACTACCCAGAGAGTGTGTCACTACCCAGAGACCTCATTGCAGTGATAGCTTCTTGAAAATGGCTTCAAATTCGATGACGAAATGTTGAATGAATTAAACCAATAGATGTGACAACTGATGTATCATTTTACATACAGGTAGCTAACTTGAATTGATCTGTCCAATAACATGTAACAAATGGAATTAATGTATTATAATTTTTATTATACCAAAATGTCCATTGTCATAACTGTTACATACTCTATTACAGTTACTACTTTTCCTTAAAGCCCTAATCGTCGAAATTTTAAGAATAGAATAATAGGGAAACTCGAAATAACTGTCCACATTGATAATCTTACATTACATTGAATTATATTATTTTGTAAACAAAAATTGTCAATTAAAACTGTTTTATCATTCCTCTTTTTATTTTATAGAAACGAATTTCATTTGAGTGAATTTCTACAGATATATTAACTCTCTGGAGAACAATATCATACACCATTTAGTATGTGAGACATTTATTTATCTGTGGACCAACTAAGAAACTTAATAACATATGTGAGTCATTACTATTGTATTGTGAGATTTTTCCTTATGTACTGTATGTATAATTTTTTAAATTTTCAGTATAACGTACCTGAGCAAATTTTGTTATTGCATATATTTTCGAATTTAACAGAAATTGTAATTTGAGGTCAATGAAATTTCTTTCTTTCGCTATTATAATATAACAAATTTATTTAACTATTTTAATAACGCTCAACTTGATGAAAAATATCACTTATGGATTACAATTTTGAATTGAACAAAATGAGCAAATAAGTGGAAACTGGTCATTGAATCGGAAAGCAAAATAGTGATTTTTCCTACCTGAAATGGAATATGCCGGCGTACTTTTCATCGAAACCTTGATCATCGGGCACAATTTGGAAGAACAGACGTCTATATAATGTCAAGTTGGCGGCGGCGGCCAATAACCAACAGTCACCCAATTCTCCTTGCTGTACATCGAACCTTGAAAACCCTTCTACAAAAAACTGTGGATCATCTACGATTTCCTAAAAAATAAAAAGGTCTATATATAGATTCACATGAAACAGACATATTCAGGATGATGAACAATTCTTGTTTTTCAATAATAATAATTATAAAATATTCAAAATAAATTTTATTTGAAACGTATTTCAAAACACAGTTACTCAACTTTGATTACTTAATTATCTACAAAAATATTTGAAAAAAAATATTTTTGGAGATATTATTATCCAGAAGATTTCCATATTGGACAAGTTATCAAAGGAAATAACAACGCAGCTAAATATATCCTCTTAGTTTTTCAGTGCAAATGAGGGCAAACTCTACAACTGAGGTCTGAAATGTAATTCCATAAGTTCTCATTTGTTGGTGAAAACCATATTCTACTGTTATATTATTCACTGTTCTCGATAGCCTGCCAAAATTATTGGATATTCATTAGAATTACCAACACCATGACAACATGAATAATTATCATTAGTTGAACACATTGTGACTCATTTGCATAGGACAGGTGATGATAAACAATGGAACACACTGACTATTATTAACAAAATTCTGAAAAAACAACTGATCTTTGGTTTCACTATTATTTCCTATGTTGAAGAATTGTGATCTTTGCACCATGAAGGGTTTTGAGTAATTCACTTTTACACACACTTTACAAAAATCTATGGATTTTGATTATAAATTCGCACAAAAAATGTCGGCCATTTTTGGGATCTCTTTTCATTTAGGAGATATTCAATCGGCGCCTGGTTTTAAAAAGAAAAGGGAATATTAGCAGGCGAGATTATTTAAAAAAAGCCTTTTGGCAAAAAATGTGGGAAGGTAACTAAGAAAGGCAGAAGGGAATTAACTAAAAAAAAAAAATTTTGTAGATATGTAGATCATGCACAAAAGGTTCTTTCAGATACAAATAAAAAAAGAATGCTTTCGAAACAACTACTTTCACATGAATAATGAATTTCATGAAAGAAGGAAGTCACATCGAAATAACTTTCATCTGACAATTGAATCACAAGAAAAAAACGTTTTCCCATTCATTTTGGTCACAGTTTGTTCTTTTAGAATCAGTTATTTACCTGTTGGGCCAATATTATCACTTTTTTGGCAATCATCTCGATTATATATTTAAAAAAATATCTAAAAAACAAAGATAAAAATAAAAACAACAATAAAAATTATTTGGCGCTCCGGGGCGACTTCAAAAATTATTTGGCGCTCCGGGGCGACTTCACTGATTCCAGTGGCGCATATTAGTTGGGAATGCTCATTTTAAATATAATTAAATACAGAAAAGTTCTAACACAACTATGACCAGATGTTTTTAATGACAGGTTATTTCTCTTTGAAGTTGGGTTTATTTTGCAATGTTACATGGCTGATGAGGCTGCGAAAAGCAACGATATAATAGCCATAATAAAAAAATACATGGCTCGGGAAAATGTAAGAATTAAAACTGGTGATGTTCAGCGTCAACTACAAAACTATTTAGAACCAAATTGGGAAAGTGCTATCACTCATTTCATTGAGGTAGAGGACAATATGTGGAAGTTGATGGAATGATGGACATTGTTACTGAGACTGTGATACAAGTAGGATCAAATGTTATAGATTACACAATATACAGTTCTGCAAAGTCAATATATTAGGATGGGATGGTAGCCGGTCGGGTTGACGTGGGTGCTTTGCTCCACTCACTCAATCGATCGCTGTGTGAACCGGTGGTTGAAGCTGCGAGGCCGGACGATCGATTTTCACTTCCTATCTACCAACCCGTGCTAGGAATCACACGTTAAAAGGTAAGGTTTCGTTAGTCTAAACCTCGCACAAGTTTTGATTTTTGAGAGAGTTGTCCTTCATAGGGGGGCTCATGCTGTTGACTACCTTTTAATCAATTTCGTCAAGACTTGTTCAGGATTATCAGTGATTTTATATACGTTATCATATGAACCTAACAAAATACACCAGTGAAATTCGTAGGCGTCTTACTGCATAATCTCATGAACCGAGAACCAAATCGTTGAATATGGTTCTTTATCGAAAACGTGTTCATCACTTTATTATCCAAAAAATCTGTAGAAGTTCCTTGATCACTTCTGTGGAGCGCTGGTCTTATTAGAAGTACTGGTATTTGTATCATTAACGTGGTCATCATTTTTCAAATATTCCAACAATCATCTATTGAATTAAATTGTTCATAAATCAGATATATTTTTTCAATCGATCCAAGGATTCTGACTGACGGACATATGGGTCTGATGTTGAAATTGTTATTGCTCCATTTATATCTAGTCTTTACTTCCACAAACTTTTTGGAATTTTCAATCACCTGTTTGATAACTTTTGAAAGAAATCGAATCCATCAAAAAATTCAGCTACTTACATCGTACACATTTTGGGAGGGAATGAAGATTTCATTAAGACTTTGGAATGAGAAATAGTGCCAAGAATTGGTTCAGCATTTTCTCTTTCAATTGCTAATTCATAGTTTTCTCATGTTCCAAATAAAAGGAATCATCAATATCCCAGAAATTTGGTAAAATAGAATGAATCAGATGCTCATTATTATTGAAAGAGGAGAGAAACGTTGGTAAAGCCAGAGAAGATGCTTGCAGGTGATTTGCTTTGAGATTTTTGAAAGTAATGAATCAAATTAGGATAATTTAGTTTGACATAATCATATAGGGAGGGCTACATCTTAGGGTATAGATTCATTTGGGAACAGTTGAAGAGTTCTAAAATAAAAATATCCACCGTGAGTGGAAAGGCATTTGATCTGAGAGCCCATCAAATTTAGGGTTTTAGTTTCACACATTCAGCCAAAGATTCTTTTGAACGTGGTGTGTCAAACAGAGTCCAGTCGTTTTTTTTGAATTTATCTATTATTGATGTTACCTACCAGTGAACACAAAAATGTATTTCACATTTTCCAAAATTAACTATCAAGATGATTTCTTTAGAAGACGAAAATATATTTTTGAATCGATGTAAAACTATATGTGTATGACTACCTATACATCCATCATCCAAAATACCAACAATTCAACTCGGTTTGAATAGATATTATCAAATGGTCAACGGATAGGCAAAAAAAGCAGGACCCAGAGAATCTCCCTGTTGAACTCTTTCTGACATGATGACGTCTGCAAATTGGTTATAAGCAAGTACAACTGGCATTTTACTGCTAGAAAATCACGTATTCGAACTACGCCTCGTATGATTCACAAAAAGTAGTAATAAGTACTGGATTTGATCATGCAAATGAATCACCTTTATCAGTGAATGTTTTTTACTTACGCCAGGTCTTTTCCATTCATAGTATCTATCGGGTCGTTGGCTGAAGAATAGAGATGAATCAGTAGCAGGAAATTCGGGATCTTCAAATAGAGTTCCTTGTTCAATACATTCATCTCGTAAATCATAAAAATCTTGAGATTCTCCGCTTCTTGTGCGAGTGCCAGATCCTTTGTCACCATACTAAAAATTACATGATTTTGTTAATATTTGCCATAGTTTCAGAAAACAATGCGAATATGGATGAGCAAACAAAAAACCAGCGTATGTAATGATAAGTCAATGAAAAATGGCGAGAATCAGAGTTGGAAATGCTCTATTGTCTTGAAAGTTTAGGTTTTGTTGACAAAGCAGGCTCAAGAACTAAAACAATCTAAAATTTAACAGTGAAATAAAGGTCAAGAATTAACAGAAAATATATATTTATACAGGCCGTTTTTTTTAACTGATACCCCTACTGCTATCTCGGAAATGGTAGGTCCTACAAGGACGATTAAATAAATTAAAAGTTGCCTTTTAAAGGATGCAAGATAATGGTATTCTCAGATCGACAAAATCTATCTTTTCTGAGATATTTGCAAAAGACTGAAAATGACAGATTTTGTTTTCTGCTCTACTGCCTCCATTTTTAATAAAATTGAAAAATGACAGAAGATCTTTTTGCTTTATTTCATGTTTTTGATGATCTGGTTCAACCCAAGTGTTTTCGGGAGAAACGTCGAGAAATACCTACGTTGTGATATATCAATGATTTTGTAATTATAAGGACTACCAAAATGTATAAAAAATATACAGGTCCGTATTTAAAAAATATATTGATGATGGATTTCAATGAACGAAACGTCGCATTGGAAAATGTGTTGAACCGGATTATGAAAAACGTAAAATAATGTAAAAAGTTTCTCTGTCAATTTTTGATTATTGAAAATGAAGGCGGTAGAGCAAAAAATTAAAATCCGTCATTTTCAGTTTTTTGCAAATATCTCGGAAACGGTTGGTGGTTTTATCGATCTGAGAATACAATTATGTTGCATTCCGAAAAGGCAACTTTTGTTTCATTTAACCGCCGTTAAAGGACCTACCGTTTCCGAGATAGCAATAATGACATCAGCTAAAAAAACGGCATATACAGGTCTTTTATTAAACATAAGGCAAAAATTTAAGGGACTATTCTAAGGATCTTTTGTCCTTTGATGATTTTTGATAGCGCGTTTTGTTTCAAAGATACGGAGCTAAAAATAATTTCGACGATACCAATTTATTACCAAAAATTACATGTAATGTTTCTTAATCTACCAGAACTGTTGAAAATGACTACCCCCGCATGTTTAATTAACACCCTGTATAAATAACATGACCAAACATGGACAAGAACATGAAAAATACGTACAACATAACTTTTTTGACATGAATTTATAGATAGGTTTTGCCGGGTCTTGATATGATTAATTTAATATTCGCGGTATGATCAAACTAATCCAACTTGGTCTATCAACCTTGAAATTATTACTGGAAAAGAAATAGTTGTTATGGAAAGGAAATAATTGTTCATAAGTTCACACAGATTATCTTTGGAAAGGAAGAATTAATGGTTCGTTTTTATAATCACATAAAAAATATGGACCAGAAAAAAGATAGATGCGATAAAGATAACAAAGATTGTTGAGATTATGCATAAGGGAATCAACATAAACAACACATTATGCAAGGTAATTATTGTCTAATGAAAATAACAGGTTTTCACTCCCCCAAAACTAAAAATATTTCGTTAAGTATGGAAGGCAATTTACTAAATTTAGAAGACAGTTCGAGTGTGGTAATCTATGTAATGTGGTGTCAGATTTATTTCAGATTTAGGATGTTTGATGATTTTAGCATACTTAGATGGATATTTCACAGTTTTAAAATTTTTTCTGAAGGACTTCTTTAATGTTAGGATATTGTGAACTTGAAAATGATACCTATTTTCATCATTTAGATAACATTACTTCCTGTTATTTTGACATGGCTTGAAAATGGTACCTATTTCCATCATTTAGATAACATTACTTCCTGTTATTTTGACATGTATAAGATCATTCAAAAAACTTCAGTATTCCTTCATCACCATAAGAAGACTGATTATATGATGACTGTTGAAAATAGTATGAGCCAATAAATATCCAACACAATCTCATGGGTCAAACTTTTTTGACGCTAATCCATCATACCAGTCGAAAGCTGAATGAAAAATATTAAGGTAGTGGAAAGAACCGAAAAAAAATCAATAAGCAAACCAAAATTACTAGCTTCAACAAACACTTGGAAAGAAAAAAATATACAAATGACCCGAACTCCAACAGCATTTTTATTAGGAATAGACGGGAATATCCCTTACCTTGAAAATTATCTTACTAGTGGAATTATTTAATTTATCTCCGAACACTCTCTTAATAACGCTATCCGTAGACCGATTTGAAGAACCTTTCACACCCAGATAACTACCACCGACATCGGCATAAGGAATATGGACGTTTCTTGCCACTGCATTTTCAACCCCCTTCAGAGATGTTTTTATATTATCGGTTTCCAAATTGAATGTCACCCTTGGAGAAGAAATGGTTCGCGGTTGGAATGATTCACCGTATCCTTCAGTCGGTTTGTATTTTTCTGAAGGAGCAACAGTAGATTTGGAGCATTTTGGAAATATGTAGGAAGATCGTTCAGCTCCAGTAGCCTTTGTTTTCACGAAATTCTCTTCTCTAACCTCAACGTTCGTTGATGTTGTGCCCCAACTCGAAGTCATGATTTCTTCAGGAATTTTCATTAGAGCATCGCGCACGAAAGTTCAAAACAAACTGGGAGCGCGTTGGGAAATATCATATCCCAATGATTAGCTCAGGGCTAGAAGCGGAAACATAGCTGTGGTATTTAATCTATATTGATAACATGTTCGCCATTACACTAATTAATTCTTTATTCGCTCAAGTTGTAACCTTTTCAAATGCCATCAGTTACACTCTAATTGGCGATTGCAACAAGTGGCTTCTTATCGATTTACCATCGTGAAATGTATCTGAAGTACATGGCTCACGAAAGTTTTAACAATATAAAGGAAAAAACAAAGAATCAATCACATCTGATTTATCGCGGGTTTGACTGACATAAATTATCGTTCTACTCAACTTATGCACTCGAAAATGTATTATCTTTATTGCTGGAATCAACAGTGTTTACTTATCAAGCACCTAACACTTCATAGATTAAACTACTCATGGAAAATTACGTACAAATAGCGCTGTTTTCTCGTTCAACCACACCCCATGAAATATTCTAAATCTATTATGATTGTCATATTGTCAGCTTTCGGGGTGGGGTTCCAATTTTATTTGAATGAATCGTGATTTAAACTGTGCTGAGTATTTAAATAAGAAAAAAAAAAGAAATATTCTAATCTGAATATTACTATTATCATTTTAATACCAATGAATATTTCAACTGTCACATTCTTTTTTTTATTAATAATTAGAAACATATATGGCTTAACTGACCTAGTAACTCGTTCTGTGAGATACAACATAATAAATTCTAATGAAATATATGTGGTTAATTTTTGAGCGTTATTAGTACAGCTTGTCAAAGGTAGGAAGAGCTTTCTGAATTCCGTTATGTTCCCGCCTACTAGATGTGTGTTCGTTAGAAGACTAAGAGAGAGAGAGATAATTTTCAAGTCTCTTCCTAGATTTGATAAGCTATAAAAAATTGATTAAATTTATATTTCATGTGAAATAAAGGTTTTGGCGAATGTCCACCATAGATAATGACAGTGTTCCATGAATGCCATATAATATGTTGTGTAGCAATCCTGTGAATGATATCTGATTCAATTCCACAACGAATCTTTGTAGTACAAACTCAATAGGTGATTTTTTTTCATAATTCAATGTTCATATAAAATTAATTGTTTCGAAAGTATTTTTTCTTTCGTGTAATTCAATGTTTATATGAAAGTAGTTGTTTCGAGGCGGCTTTCTTTTCCAGTTTGTGTCTTAAAGTTACTTATTTGGATGCTCTAGACATTTTTGTAATGAGGTAATTTTGACATTAATTGATTTCTTCCATTCTTTGATGATTATCACATTTTTTTATAAAGAGGGAAGTAAAAAGCCAAAACCTTTCTTTCCCAAAAATGAATCTCCCCTGAGGAGCCCGGTTGAAAAAAACAAGCCCCCGGGAAAAGGGCAGCTGTTGTAGACGTCTTCAGAAGTAATTTTTGAATGTATAAATACTACGACCACACTTGTACCAAGTGGATGAGTACAAAAATAATATAAACCCTATATTTGGATACAAATAATGTTAACAAAAAAACTTACTTTTATATAGTTTACTGCAATTATGACTATGCAAATTTCCGTTATTAGGAATAATTTTGAAAATATCGAACCAAATAAATATTTTTCGAATTTTCCTGAAATTTGTCTCTGAGAAATTTTTATAGAGATGGGTAATGATTCGAAGACTATTGTGGATACTAACAATCGAAACGTCTAGAATTAACTTGCCTTGGAATCTCTTAACTTTTGAATTTCATTTTATTTGTTCCAGTTTTACTTATAATTTATTTTACTATTATTTCATTTCAGGTTTTTTGCTCAATATAATTGTTTTTTCAGCTATTCATTTTTATTCTTCTTCTTTGATTTTTTAATTCTTCTTTTTAGTTATTTCAGGGATTCCAAATCATTTTATATATAATATCAGACAATTCACGTCCGAACTAATGAAACTCATCATGAAATATTGTCAATCACCTTCAAAGTTGCTTGTTGTTCGACAATACTTCCTATTGTATTGGGAATTTCAAAAAATATTTTTTTGAAAACCCAACGAATGCCATAATCGTTCTAATAATTTTTAATTCTTTTGTTGATAATGAAGAAAGGTACATTGAGATTTCGGAGAGTCATATGGGAAATTTTTCATACTTCCGAATCTATCAAAAAGTTTCATTCAAGTTTCAACATATTCTAAAAAAGTTTTTGTGTTTTTTCTTTCGAAGGAATTTATAGGTGCATATTGAGTTGACCAAACCTCTTTCACTTTCTGCAGAGTATTGATTCAGAAGAAGTTTCAATATTCAGTTGAAAATTTTCGGAGAAAAACAGAAAAGGAATATTTTCCATTATTATTTTTATCTTTCAACATTAATTAGGTATATTAGACTAGGTTAGGTTTTGTCTAAAGTGAGTGGGAATATTCGACCTTCCACCGCAACCCGCAAGGCATTATTGTGGCCCACACCTATTCAAACTTGACCAAATAAACCCAGCTTCGATTAGTTTGTATGGTGGGTGGCCTTTCAGGTCAGATGGTAAGAGTACGGCTCTGCTGAACTCTAAAAACCTGATTCGGTCCCCAGCGGGGCAGGCACAAAGTATGTGCTCTGCTGTTTTATCATTTTCGATACAGACGCAATACACACTGTCTTCCGACAGTCCGAGTCTCTGCATATGATGATTCAAAAGCAGTAACCTGTAAGACGGCCTGTTAGACATCGTAGTTCATCCCTACTGTAGTCCAACAACTGTTTGGTATCAAGCTTCGAAGGGTGAATAAACGCCTTGGAGTCAGTATGGCCAGGAATCCAGACCAGAGACAATCTGTCAAGTCTTCCTATCAAGGAGAGTTGTTTTTGGCAATTTGCTACATTTAGACGTTGCTTAGTAGGAACCAAGAGCTTCCAACGCCGCTTGGCTGTCCGAGTGTATGAGGTGGGTTTCTTCCAATCTGTCCGCACACAATTCAATAGCGTAAATTTCCGCTTGCAATACAGTCACATAGGTTCCTAGGCAGGTTGATATCCCTGTCCTGAGTCTGCGACTGAAAACACCTGCACCAGAACCAACAACTATCCTTCTTCCGGAGGATCCAGTCCTCTCTACTCGGGAACAATACTTTATAAGGCAGTTCGTAGTTGACAGTTGGAGGCACAAAGTCAGAAGTCATTTCCAGAATGCTGTGACTTTCAGTGTTAATCAACAGCCTGTTGCACAAGTCTATATGCAGTCCGTCTAGCCCCTCTCTCCAGAAAAATGTGGAGAGGAGGTAGATCTAGAAGGATCTTCATGGCCGCTGACGGTGTGGTACTGATGGGACCAGAGAAGCAAGCCTGTCTCTGTAAGCCAGAGAGCTTCGCCTGATTCGCTACTGATTATGTATCACAATATATGAACATTTCAGATCGATATTTCATTTCTTTCCACAGACAAATCACATAATTTTTCAAAAAACACTTCGAATACTTTTCTTCAGAGCCTATCATATCACATAAAAAGTTTGAGGACGGAAGGACCATACTCAGTATACTATTCTCCAAAGGTTGCGTTATAATCATTGACATTCTGACATTCAAATTATTCATTATTAGCAATACTTTCGAAAATATGTCTTAAATATGATTTATGTGTATGTATGATCTCAAACATATCTTCTTGTGAATATCACAAAAATAACAAGATACTTGCATAAAGGTAAATTGAACTGAGAATATGTAAAAATTTAATTTGAACTAGACATGCCTATTTCTCTTGCGAAAAGAAGTTGCATACCAAGTATAACTCGTTACATCCAGTGTAGGTACTGCGTATTCAAATCTGTCATTCCGTTTAGAAAGATACTGAACTGACATTTTTGATCAATTTTCAGTGCAATCTTCGAAATTTCAATGGGCTTGAGAAGTCATCCCCGAAAGTATCTAGTTTCATTCAGTAGTATACCTTGTACTAAAATTTTCAAGATTAAAACGGTGTCTTTAATGGTCGCCAGACAGTATATCGATTTTGGCATCGTCACAAGTCACAGATACCCGCATTTCAGTAGAAAATTATCCACCGCTAAACAAAATAAGGTCTTTGATCGTAAAAAACCACTGCAAGATTTATCTCACACGCTGGTGAAACTTGTAATATGGGGGACACTAAGAAAATAGAATGAATTGTCACGAAATATAAATAAGGTGAAAACATCCCACAATGTATTGCGGCAATCGTTTCCACATAGGCATTCACTATCTTAAAATTGAGGTTAGGTTAGGTTAGGTTAGATATTGTCGAAGTTCTGCGACGTCATCTACGGACCTGCCTTATTGCGAGCTGATGAGTTACGACCCCAAAAAATACAAAATAGTTGCGTCAGTTCCTCCTTTGGTTGGTTTCACATGAAGCGAATACAAGAAAATTATCACCTCACTTTTATTCATAAAGTGTTGAAATCTGGTAAACCTCCTTATCTACGAAAAAAATTAGTACCATAGTCGCAAACTGAAACACTTCATATAAATGCTCAGAATATTTCCTAGAAACACTACCGCTTCACTCACGAGAAGTTTATCTTAAAATGCAGTTAAAATATACAATAACTTATTGTATCCCTTGAAATATGATAAAGACATTATTTTTATTATTTACCGAAGTTATAGCTGGTCGGGCCCTGTCCTCGAAGCTCCGATAAATTTAAGAGGGCTCGCCAGCATTATCAACCAATTACCACTTCCCCACATCGTGGGGTAAGTGATCATTGGGTCCGAGAATCATGTGCTCTGAGCAGACGCAATGGACAAAGAATGAATTTGTCCGGCCAAGATTTCTGCCGTAAATAATAAATAGTTTTGTAATAAGCCAAAGAAATCACCTTCTGAAGAACGTAACACCCCTGAATGAAGTAAGGTTGCTCCCAATAACTCGTATAAATACATTTCGTATAGTTTCTATTCCATTTAGATCTAATCAATTCGGGCAAATGGTGCGTTTTGTAATATTTTGTTGGTATTTATCAATGAAGTTGATAAAATTAAATTCAAAGATCAACATTACAGAAACCTTTTTACCCATCATGCGATTAAGGTAGATTAAGGTATAAAACACTGCATGTCAGGCTGCGATTAAACCCTGGGTTTCCAGCCTCCTTGATATGAGGAAGGCAAAAACCGGGTTCTTGGATAAGTCAGGGAAGACAATGAAGACCCTGGGCATCAGCTATTTCCTATGAAGCCGCAGGAGAAGTAAATTGATCTCTGCGACTTTCATACTAAATGAGCGACAAAGTTTTGGTCACCTCGTTAAGTGATGAAAATCAAGACAAGTTCATCGGCTGATGTCTTGAAACGAAATGCTCCGACTCCTAGTCCTAACGGAACAATTATATTACGAAGATACTCCAAATTCACAAATACATGTTCTCCCACTTGCCGGAGAATGTATAACCTCAGAACACTAAGAACACAAAAAACTATAAGAGGAATTTTTGAAATTCAAAGACTATCGAAAAGATAACAACAAGGGCAATAAAACGAAATCACAAATATCCCCTTTGATGAAAAATAGTGACGCAGCAACAACGGCTCTGTTTCGTTTTCATTTGGGCACTCTATAATCTATTTCTATTTAGTTTCAAATGCGGTGTTTACCTTGTATATTCTGTAAGGCATATGTCTGAGAAAATCACCTCGAGTTTCCAAATTCTGCTCTGAACTTTTCTCCTGTTGATTGGAGCAGGGATCTTTCTCCGTTTGTTTCGTTCCGTGTGATGGTCCAGTATGTAATTCCAAAGTGTCTACCAATATAAGCGAATCATCTACAATTTCTGGTGGTTTTTGTGAGTCAGTTTCCTTTTTGATAGTGCCCTGAAGAATGCTTTTGAGAGGTCTCACTTCAATACGTTCAGGTATATGTGGAGAGGGTTTAACATTTGTCGGTAGTGTTTTCGAAACTGTAGAGGATTTTGTTGATTGCTGTTCCTCTCTTTTTGAAGGTTCATTTTTATACAAAATTGTTGTGATTTCCTTTTTAAGTTTTTCCAATCCTGCAGTATTTTTACATTTCGGTCCACATTTGCAATTTTTACTAGCTTTGCAGAGAGGAACAGGAGTTGGTCTTTTGAGGTCTTGAGCTTCTACATTCACCCTAAAGTAGGCAGGTACTGGTTTTACTGATTTTTTCTGTTCCTGATTCGTTCTGGGAGTTATCTTCTTGGGTTTCACTTTCGAATTTTTCATAGGATAGTGATCCAAATAACTGAGTATATCTTTATGAATGTAATTTAGATATTCAACTGATAGCAGGTCGTTCTTTTTCTTGTAATGAGATCTGGAATTGTTGAATCCGACGTGACATGACTGGCTGCTACGATCCAGAAAAGCATCCCACATATTACAACATATTAATTTTAAATGTGTATTCAATATCAGCCAGAACTTGATAAAATTGAAATGAAAAATGCAAAGTGAAATGACAAGTAAAAGTTGTCAAGTTGACGAATACAACAAAGAACCAGATATTAATTCAACTTTTTTGAAGGAACATTCTCGAAAAGAGATGTAACACCAAGGTTCTTCTTACTACAGAGGGAATCCTGAAAACTAATTATGCGTTCCTAAAAAATGAAACAACACTAGATATAGGTGTTTGTCAAAAAATTCAAATTGTCTGAGAACAAGATTTATCTACACATGACGTTGCACAAATATGTGTGGATAGTGGGTTATGAAGAAAAATTACCCAATACAGTTCCGTTTTTCCCCGTAGGTTGACCAATAATTGACTACACTGATTAATCAAACTTTAATTAAACAAAACTTTATTTCACTTTGAATACAACAAACACTTCAACTAAAGCTTCAACTATTATTTGAATGTCTATCGCCTTACTAGATCACTTCGCGTACCGCACTGTAGTGTGTCGATATGCTTGCAGCTAGTGTTTTAATATCGTAATCGAATGTCGTAGAAATTTCGTCGAAGTTCTGTCGAAGTCGGTAGCATTATTCTTAGCTACGTCGCGTTTGGTTTATGGGTACCAGTAGCGGCCGGCGTTATTTTCTTTCGGGCATGATTTACAACACTAACCCCTTCCCTGAGGTTGTTCGCCCCGAACAACAATCCAAGAGGGGACATCACGACCCATGTAAGAGTCTTGATGTCCCACGTCTGGTGGGAAGTTTTTCTTCTGGTAGCTGGGTATCCTTGTCCTCCTGGCGTTGGCAAAATTTGCATCCGAATGTCAGGCATGGACTTCTTGAGAGGCTATCTGCATTTCCGTGACTTTTTCTTTTCCGAAGTTTCGGGAAAACCTCTTCAAACTTTCTTTCGACTCCTTCAAAGCTTCTTTTCAAATTTCCTTCCGACTTCTTCAAGTTTCCTTTCAACCCCATTAAACTTCTCATAGACTATTTGTTCCAATCCTTCCTTTGTTTAATGAAATACTTTTTCAATTTATTCCTGAATCAATTCCCGTACCTTCCCTTTACTCACTTGGGAAGATTTCAAATCTTCAAATAAATGAAGATCTTTTTCATGTTTCTCCTGAATATTAAAAAATAATTTACCATATATTCTCTGTTACTTTCTTGTTTTTCCAGAATATTTAGTAGTAATTGACGGTCTTCAATTCTGCGTAACTTTTCTTCCTCCCTCTAGTTCATCTTCTTCATTTCGGCGTAAATGTTCTTCCTCTCTTCTTCGTTCATCTTCCTCATCGCCTTACTAGAACTTCGCGTACCGCACTGTAAAGTCCACTTGATCGTATCGATATGCTCGCAGCTAGCGTTTAAATATCGTAGAAATTTCGCCGAAGTCTGTCGAAGTCGGTAACATTATTCTCGCTGCTTTTCGAGTGGAGGGGAATCATCGTACATTCGCGCGCTCTTAGCTACGTCACGTTTGGTTTATGGTTACCAGTGGCGGCCAGCGTCATTTTCTTTCGGGTAATTTGTGAGACAAATCATTATTTATCGCTCAAAACGCGATAACTTCACAAGATTGAACGGAGAATCGTTTTGACGTTTACAATAGTTAAAGCTGTTTGGCATAACGTTAATAAATACTTTACTGACACAGCAGAGGGTACAAGAACCATTTGCAAGTCACCGTTTGCAAGAAAAAACCATCAGCAAATTTTTTGATTTTTTCAACTTCAATTTTATTCATAAGGGGGTAGATATCAACTGATAAAAGTACCGAAAATATCGTTCGTGATTTGAAATCTGCAAATGCTGTGTTTTTGAGCAAAACTGAAGATTTTTTATTGGATCAGTGATATGTTTCAAGGTACCAACTTGATTTTTCTATTAAAATAACACTTTATGCCATTATATGTAATCATAAGTTTCAATGTAAAATGTACATCCCAGAAAACACTTGTTTTAATCAATAATTTCAACACCTTGTATAAACAACGAAGCTTTGAAAACTCCTTTGTATTTTTTGAAATTCTTTACTCATCAATAACATCACCTTACATTTCTTTCAACAATAAATCAATGAAAAATGAATTTTACTTTCTAATCCAAAATTCAGACAAATGATAAGGTTTAGTAAGTGTTTGATTCACAATATCTGTTCTGGACTTAAAACACACCCTCGAGTTTTCTTTCAGGACTCTGCTGCTCAAACGGAAGCAAGATATTTTTTTAGAATCGGATGGGTAAATCAGATTCATTTTCTGTGACACATTCATTTTCAATGAAGACTTCTGCTGGGGATTCACTTGGCATCTGAAGGAAAGGGAAGACATTTGCCCAATTCTTTTTTCTCCATAGACAGAACCATGTGGTCGGTTTTTAACGGGATCATACATCGGTATGTTGCTCAATGTGGGATCTCCCAGCATTCTAACAGAACCGCAGGTGCCACATTTTCGGTAACTTCTTCCGGATATGGCACTATCGGGCCTGGAAAAGGTCTCGTGATGTACAGATGGTCTGGAATGCCCATCAACACCAGAGATGCGATGGTTGTGATAACTCGAAAAGGGTACACCCATAGAAGTACATGGTCTGAAATTGTTTCTTGAGGCGTTGACAGTTGAATATTGCATATTGCACCTGCCGCACAACGAACAAAACTGTCGCATACGCGATGACCTGGACAGTTTTTCTTCACAACTTCTACAGATATACCTAGCGTTTCCATTATACGTTGTTTTGTTTCTGTTTCCAAATCGGTTATCGAAAACTGCACTGGCATTATTTTGTTGGCTGTAGCTTGTAGGAACATTCGTATTGAAATGGACTTTGGGTGTGCATGTCTGATATGGATCACTGTAAGAGAACGGCCTTCGTTGATTGGGACATCGACAAATAAATCGTGGTGTACAAGTTGAGAAAGTTCCTTCATTTCCAGCTGAGTCCAGTTTATCGTTCATATTGTCTCCCGTTTTTCCTAGATCTGGATTTTTTTTTGGATCTTCAAAGTCTGCATCATTGGTACTCAAAACCCCTTTTGCAATTTGTGATCTATCGACTTTTGTAGGCGTTTCTTTTTCACTCTTCTGATTTTCATTTTCATTCGTACCTAGATTTCTCACATTATCATCCGTCTTTTTTACTTTTCCTTCTGTCTTATCAATGTTGTCTTCTGAGCTTTTAACGTTTTCATCTGCCTTTTTTACGTTTTCATCTGTCTCTTTTACTTTTCCTTTCTTATTTTTTACCTTTTCTCTTTCTGATTTTGGTCCTTCTACTTTTTCTTTTTTTGTTTCATTTTCTTTATCTGCTTTAAGAACTTTCACAACTTTGAGGATTCCTTTTTGCTTTGAATCTTTCTTTGGGTTACCTTTGGAACTCCTTGTTCCTTTTTTATTTTTTTTCTGTACATTGGATGAACCCGCTGGAACTCCATCGTTCAGATTGAACAACTTCTCCTTGAGGGTAGAAGGCGGACAGATACTTTCACAAGGATCACATGGTACGCAACAAGGGATACATGATCTACTCCAACAACTTGATCTACTACGATTTGAAAGACAAGGGGTTCCTGGTTTACTTAAGGCAACGACCGATTTATTAGAGGGAGTGCATGACTTACTGGAATTGATACACAACACGTTATATGGGGAATAAAATGTGGGTATACATGTCAGTGGCGTAGCAAAATAGCACCGCATCGAATTTGTGGCACATTTTAAACTATTAATTTTGAACTGACGATGACAGTGACAGTTTGATTTGATGTAGCATGGGGCCGAAAACCAATGCCGTTCTCGATCGACAACAATCAAAACAATTTTGCGGCGCCTATGGAGGTATTTGTCTCCAAAATCCGGACATGAGTCGATTTTTCACAATTCATAGTATGGCAAAACTGGTTATTTCCCTGAATAGAGGAAGACATGGTAGAAAAGAATAGACGTTTGTCTATTCTGTCTACTCTGCCAGATAGGATTCGAGTCTCAACTCTTTATTATACACAATGGTGTGAAGATGAATAACCATCTGCCAAGTTACTCTATAAAGAAAAGACACAAATATTGGTACCAATCAATACAGAAAAATAATTAAGGAAATCTTGAGTAGTAGATCCTATTACAGTTAGACTGAGTTCTATACCGATCATTTTTAACCTAGCATGTTTATGTCTTTTGAAAAATCTGTTTTTAACATCTTTTTTTCCGTTAATCAGCTGTCGCACCCTTACGAACGACAACCCTCAGAAGTCGAAACTTGTGCGAGCTAAGGATTAACGTGGTCTTACTTTTTAACGTGTGATGCCTAACACTGGTTGGACGATAGCACGTGAAAATCGATCGTTCAGACTGGGCTTGAACCACCGACCAACACGGCAGTCAATTCGAGTGAGTGAACAAAGCACCCACTTCGAACCGCCTGGCAACCGACTTAACTATTTGTTGTATTTAATTTATACTTTACTTTAGTGTTCATTATATTTTATTTCATAGGACATTTATGTATTTTATTTTATATTCATTTACTAGCTTTGTCAACGACTTTTTTTTTCTTCGGACAATGAAGTATTTGCGAAAAAAATCAATTTCCTAATCGTAATGTGCCTCTTGTGAAACAGGAGGCACATTACGCGTTGAAGCGAAATGAAGAATCAGGAAGGCCAATGACTGTAAGAACGGTAGAAGGAGAAGATAATGTGCTGGCCATGATACAAGAAGATCCAGGTACCTCTAAAAATTGTTAATACTTCAAATGTAAGTAACGGGACGATTTGGAACATTTTTAGAGACTATTTGTTGTTCCCATACCACATAAAACGAGTTCAGGCACTTCTTCCTGCAGATTTTCTTCTTCTTGATAAACTGGCTTCCCTGAAGCCAGTTTATCAAGAAATTTCATAAGGAATTTTCGCAATAATCATGTTTGGGCTGAAGAAAATCCACATGAGGTGCTTGAAGATCGCTTTCAACATCAGTTGTCGTTAAACGTTTGGGTGGGAATTGTAGGAGACTTCCTAATTAGACCGGTATTTTTGCCAGGAATACATACCGGCGAGATATATCGCAACTTTTT